GTGTGGATTGTGGATTGTGGATTGTTGTGGACTCATAATGTGGGAGGTTTTGGTCCAGGTTCGGGAATTAGGAAGTAGTCCGAATAGCCCGGGGGTGAGGGAGGGAACCTTAGCAAGAACTTGGGGAAGAGAGAAGGTGTGGAGAGCCATTCAGATTCCAGCATTTCAGACCCTTTACCTTTCCCCATCTACCACTGACTTACGACTACTAGTTAAGCCAAGTCTTGTGTCGCATGGCATTTTCCAGCCGCACCCAAAGTGCGTGTACATTTCAGTATGTAACTAAGTGTAAAAAAGTACTAGGTTAATTGCTGCCTGGTACGTCTCTGGGGAATGATTGATTTGCTCTCCCCGCGGGGTATCAATGCAGGACAAGGAACAAGGCACATCCCAGGTAACTAACTAACTTGATTAACTAACTCGAGTCTACTGCAACGTACTAAACTTTCCTTAACAACTTGATTGTTCGGCCGCCGGAGCCATTCCGGGTCATCCGGACGTGGCGGTAACATGAGGTACGAAAGGGATACGAAAAATACCGCCCAGCGACGGCAGAGCCTTTGTCCGCAACCACTTTTGCTCCAAAAAAGTGTATCCACCCGCTCGGCAGTCGTTTCTTCCCCGCGGTTCGATCGCACTTCGTCTTCCTCCTCACGATTCTACCTACTAACTGATTATTCTCCATCTCCACCTTCTCGTCAAACACGCCAGTCCCTCCCTGCAGCCACTCCAGGTTGGTTCGTCCCTCCTTGTCCCTTCCCATCCCACACCCCCCCTCCCCCTACCCTATCCTACACTATCTTACCTCCCCTAGCTCATCTCTCCCCACACTCTTGGGTCTTGAGCATTCGTTTCCCGCCTTCTTTTTCTTATTATTGTTATTATTACGTCGCTCACACAAGTAGCTGGATTGCTCCTCCGCAGGCTCACCGTGATCGTGTCAAACCCAATGCTTACCTTCGAATGCGTCGGTCGGTCCCGCAGGAACTAATTCTCGGCTCTCGCGTCCTACGCCATGCGTGGGTCTAATAATCGCCCTCTTCTCAGTATTGTGATTTCTCGTGTATAGCCAGAACAAAAATTCCCTGTGCACGACATGTCAATCCTCGTGAATCCTCCCAAACGCAAGCTAGACGAGCTGGAAGGTCCGGTCGAGCATCAGAGCAGCAGGCGCTTGTCGCATCTCCCTTTCACCTCGAATACCCCCCATGCAGTAGATCCTACTCCCGGCAACGATGCGCCTCCACGTCCCCGTGTCAATTCCGCTCCCCAGACGGAACACTCAGAGGCGTCGCCTTGGTTGAATGCTTCCTTGCGCGAGTTGAGCTCCAATCGTCAGTCGCCAGTTTCTTTTGACGGGCCTTTCCAGGCTCAGAGGAAATTCGCTCCCAATGCGTCCATTGTGTTGACCGGAATCCGCGGCACGGGAAAGTCCAGTCTAGCAGTCATTCTGGCGGCGACCTCGGGTAGGCGACTGATCGATGCAGACCGGTATTTTCAGCAGGTGACCGGTCGTACACGCGCTTCCTACAAGAAAGAGTTCGATCTGGTGGAGTATCGTCAGCAGGAAGCCAGGGTGATGGAGTCCATGCTCTCCGAAAACCAAGAAGGCTGCGTCATCGCGTGCGGGCCTGGTTCCATGGAGCGCAGTGGGCAGACGCTGCTGAGGGAATACGCGAAAACCCATCCAGTCATCTACATCCTCCGAGACCCCGAGAGCATCCAGTCTTACCTGAAAGCGTGGAACACAGACAAGGTTCGTCGTTTTCTGGAACTCTCGGGGCCCATATATCGCGCCTGTTCCAACCTCGAATTCTTCAATGTCTCCGAGAAGGGCCTTGCGGACCATCCGATTCCAAAAGACGGTCACCATGACTCGCAATTAGAATCGGAGCTTGATCAACGAGTCCAAGCAATCACTCCTTTCCTTACCCTCAAACAATTACAGCGGGATTTTCTGTGTTTCATTGCGTTCGCAACGGGCGACACCACAGACCTCAGCCGCCATAACTCATCCTTCCCTCTGTCGATGCAACCAGTTGAATCGCGCACCTATACTTATGCCGTAACCGTCCCTATCTCGTCCATGTTAGAACGTGATCTGGATATCGAGGAGCTAGAGTCGACCTCCGATGCGTTTGAGCTGAAGCTGGATGTGGCCGAGCCACCTTCCTCCCATCTCGGTTTGGACTCGAGCTTTGCCGATACCATTAGTCGGGCGTTCGCCAATGTCCGACGGAACACGGTCGTTCCATTAATATACCATGTGGAGAGTAATGTATGTCGTTATGGCTTGAGCGCAGAACATAAGGATCCCTCGCGGCGGTCGGATCCTGAGTATCTCAAATTAGTCCAGCACGGCCTACGATTAGCCCCGGAGTTTGTGACAGTAGATATGTCCTACGACGACAAGGTACTTTCACAGGTCATAGCTTATAAAGGGTCCAGCAAAGTGATTGGGCACTTTGCTGCTACGCAGCCACCGGCGCGGGGCTGGGATGATGCACAGTATGTCGAGCTCTACGAGCGAGCCAAAAGGTTAGGATGCGACATGGTTCGGTTGACACAGCCGGCGGTGACAATTGACGACAATTTTGCCGTGCAACGCTTTCGCGACCATATCAAGTCCCTTCCTACCCCGCAACTGCCTGTCATCGCGTACAATGCGGGCCCATTGGGCCGGTTGTCATGCTGTTTCAACCCGATCTTGACCCCTGTCACCCATCCGTCAATGGTCGCCGAGATGCAATCCAAAGGGTTGCCGTGTATTACCCTGCGTGAGGCACAGGAGGCTCTGTACGCCTCGTTCACATTGGACCCCTTACACTTCTTTGTTTTCGGCGCCAACATCACCTACAGTCTGTCTCCTGCCATGCATAATGCCGCCTATAAGCGATGCGGAATGCCGCACCATTACAAGCTCCACCAGTCGTCGACTCTGCGAGGCCTCAATGAGTTGGTGGAGAATCCGCATTTTGGTGGCACCAGTGTCAGCCTGCCGTTCAAAACCGAAGCCATTCCGCTACTGCATTCCATGTCTCCCCATGCTCGAGCCATTGGCGCCGTGAACACGCTAATTCCTATTCGGAGGCTGGGAGACAAAGCCCTCGACGCCGATAATTCCTCGTTGTACATGGAGAAGAGTCGCGCAGGGCCGATCAAGGCCTTGCACGGAGACAATACCGACTGGATCGGAATTGGAAATTGTTTCCGAAGAGGCCTGTCACCCGCGAACGCCATCCGCCCCTCGTCCACTGGGCTAGTCATTGGCGCGGGTGGCATGGCGCGCGCTGCCATCTACTCCATGATCCACCTGGGCGTGCAGAATATCTTCGTCTACAATCGGACCCTAGCGAATGCTGAAAAACTCGCCTATCATTATAATCGCCAGAATCTCCCTTCTCCGGGCCAGGCCGGGTCGGCGGCACGGCCTCAGGTGCACGTGCTGCAAAGCCTACAGGACAGCTGGCCTGCCAATTACAAGCAGCCGACCGTCGTCTGTTCATGTATCCCAACTCACAGCATCGGAGGGCAGCCGGCCCCGAACTTCGAAATGCCAGTGCAGTGGCTCGAAAGCCCGACGGGAGGCGTTGTTGTGGAGGTTCGTCAAATACCACTGTAATTACACCCTGTAATCTGAACGACACTAACCAGTACACAGTTGGCGTATAAAACGCTCAATACCCCATTGATGAAACAAATCCGAGCACTTTCGCACCGTGGCTGGGTCGCTCTGGACGGACTAGATGTCCTCCCGGAGCAAGGTTTCGCCCAGTTCGAGCTGTTCACAGGTCGCCGGGCGCCGCGACGGCTCATGCGGACCGTAGTCTTGAAGGAATACGAGGGCGAAGAAGGTCAATACGACGAGCAGGCAATCCAAAGCAGGATTGAGAGTCTAGATGGACAACCGACCTGAAATGCTCATTGGCCAAGAATATGCCATTAAAGCCTCAGCTGGCTAATGTCGCATTAAAAATAAATGAAAAGGGCCACCATTGGCTGCCGTGTCCGTCTTCGGCATGACCGTACCTGGGATGGTCAGTCAGTCAGCATGCAGCCACTTCCGCGGGACTCTTTTTTTAACCCCTTTGGCAGGTGGCATGTGGGCGAGCAATGCGTGCTGATTATGAGCACGCACACATACACACACACCAGGCATGGACGCCAGTCGCCCCGGACAATGCAGCAAACGCAGCATTTCGATCTAAATACTGCCACTGCTCGTGATATGATATTTCTGTGATGACTACTACGTACGTATTGAAGAGGACACGACTATCGTTCCATATACAGTCCATGACAACATAATCCAACAATGAATGCCAAGATCTCTGATTCAAAGGAGAATCGTAAGCGAAGCATAGGAATTACTTCTTACAGTAATACTATAGTCTAGGTAGTCTGCAATGTAGACCTATCTTAGTAAGAATAATTCAATAAATAGGTGAATGCTGGATTTCATTTCCATTTATAATCCACTCCAGGTCTGCGCATTCTGTTACTATTTCGGTTGCGGCTTATTGTAGTACTATTCAATTCTCTGCTACAAGGAGTAATTGATGATATTACTATTGTTGACGCTTACTTTCGTAGCAATTTACTGCGTTGGTCAGGATACAAGAAAGGACAGGGAACTGAAGTTGCTACGGCAGTCTCTATCGTAAGTAATCTTTAGAACGATGCGGTTGTGTCGTAGTCCGACGGAACAAAATAGGTGAGATCTAGACATGTCAGGAAGTAGAATGATTCATATGTCAGCATAAAGTACTTTCGAGATTCAGGCATGCTTTTAGAGCGAGGCTATGAGGAGTTTTGGTTTCATTAAGTTATCGTAGGCTAAGCTACTTGGTAGCTAGGCGCAAAACAACACCTTGGGGCTGTGTGCTGTTCCACATAAGCATGAATGTACTAAGTGTATGGTAAAGCATTAATCCAAGACTAGCCCTACACACCAGACTAACAATACATGAAGGTCCTAAGCAGAAATAATTCATCCAGTCTTACTTCAGCTGCACGAAGTTTCCACACGCCAGGCGCGAGTTATCCGCTGCATGCACGACCAACGAGAGGTTTCCAAAGAAGGCAGGCTCCCCCTCCACATTGGAAAGGAACCAGTCCGTATACGTGGTGGAGAATACCTCGTTGTCGGGCGCCCAGATCGGTCCATGCTTGCCACTGAGGTCGCCAACTTGACAGGTCTGTGGCGCGTTGATGTCGCAGGGGGTGGCATCGCCCCGGCCGTAAGGGTCCAGGTGTGCACCGGTGCTGTAGCAGTTTCCGTCCTGAGGGACTGGCTTTTGGTGGATGTGGTAGACTGATCAATTTCATAAAGAGGTTAGTATTGAGGTGTAGGTTTGTTATTAACTCAAAGTTTGAGTTTGGGTTCGGATTCGTAGGGAAACTCTAAACACAAGCCCATATGATGGGATAGATATTGAAGGAGCGGGAGGAAAGGGAGGCGTACCCAACTGCTGGTCATTGTCGGGGATGCCCCAGAACTGCGCCGAAACAAGGACACCCACACTATCGGGCTTAGGGAAGATGGTTACAGACCCGCGTACTGTGGTGTTATCCTTGGGCTGGAGCTGGGCGTAGTAGAGGACATCATCATTGTCTGTGACGACGGGGGCATTGGTGCTGGCGCCCTGAGCTGTAGCCGTGGCGGAGAGGCACAAAGCCGTGGCAGTTGCGAGGAAGGTGGATTTGAAAAGCATCTTTGTTTTCGCAAGCAAGTTTGAGACTCTAAGAATGCGTGGATGAGTTAGTGGGTGAGAGGGTATGAGCAGATTTGCGAAGGATTTGCAGGTTGGATATAAGTATATAACTATAACTAGATGCAAGAGGAGAATGGCGGTACCTGAATGAAGCAAGAACGACGATCGCGGTCAACAATGGACGAATTCAGCGAGTCGGCAGCCTGTGTCTTTGTTGTGCTGTAACCCCTCGTCCCCCTTGATTCCGGGGCCGCTTTATAAGGGTCCATGCATGTCGGTGTAAGGGGACACATTGGTGAGACAATGATCCATTCACCGAGTGTATTGTGAATTGGTGGTTGCATCCCTTGCCATGATCCGGATTTGTTGGTTCCGGATTGGGGAGGGAAAGCCGGATGCCTGCGAAATATTGGAATGTTCGCGGGGGCTGTCAGAGAAACGGTTTCGGGCAGGTTACACTGGCATTGCTCCTGCTATGAATTCCTTGGAGATTGAAAGTTGGAAGTGAGTTGCTGTCAAGCTTGTCAATGGCAAGGTTATTCTTGACCTTAGTTGCCAGGCAGTCACGGGGAATCGATTTGGATTCTCTCTATTAACTTGTAATGAGCTCGCCGACTCTATACATTCCCCTGGCACGTTCAGTAATGTGCCTTCTTGGCTTTCTATACAGCTCGTTTGCTTGTTTTCGTCCTATTAACATCCATCACCCCCGAATGTCTGTTCCTTAAGTACATGTGAACAGTCTGAAATTACTGAGTTTGGGGCGAGTATGTAATCTGAGTGAAGCAAGCTTTGACGAGCAACTCTGGATGCCTTGAGAGTAAGACAGAGAGTCATAGTAACAATGCCTTGACTTTCAAGGCAGTTATGTCTCTTCAGAGCCATGGTTGATACTCCAGTAAAGACATGTCCCAGTTCAGGGCTCTATTGTCCCTCTTAATTGGCAATTATCTAAATTTCCAGAGTATGCTAGGCAGTGTCGTGTTGATGGAGATCAGATGTATGGAAGGCGTGTATTATCCTATGACGGAGTAAATCCACCAGTGCAAAGCCTACTTGTCATATTTGAGAGCAAATAAATATAGTCAAACCATATTCTTACCATGTTGGGGGTTTTTAGCGAAGACTGAAGGGTGTCGATTTCACTGCAGTAGGGGTCAGCCATGTTTATCCTGCGTAAACAGCCATCGGCAGGATTTCCACTCTATCCTGTTTATTTTCGGCAGTTTTGCCCCCCTACAGCAAGCACAGACATGGAGTATCTTCATCGAACTGGAGATGGAAGACATCAATGATCTGCGGGGTAAGAGTGCCGAGAGATCCTGATAATTCAGGAAAAGTTCCCGATTCGGGCAATTTAGGCGCTGGATCATCGCCAGGCCCAGACTGGGACAGAACTTCCCCCCTCCATCCCATCATCAAGTCACTGCATGATGAAGGATCGACAGCCACGATGGTCTCTTATCAGTGACAGCTGACAACTGACAACTGCTGCTGCTGCTCAACACTCCACTCGGGACCGCCACGAATAACGTCCGTAAACGAGTGGGACTCGACTCGAGGGCTGGATATGACCCATCATCCACGGACTTCTCTGCGGTCCGCTGCATGCCATCGGAGCATGTCCACCTGCTACTCTTCCGGGCGGGTTCCGCTCCCCCTCGCCAGCTGTGGTCGATGATAGAACTATGGGTCCAATGTGGAGAGCTCGGGGTATTTATACAACGAGGGGCTCATACTCTTCAACTTGACCCTCCCTCCCCCAGCCGCTCCATCTCTCGTTCGCTTCTACGGAGATACAGTGAAAGTGGTCCTCTTCCCATCATGTCTCTTGCTCAGAGCAACTACGTGATCCGGCTCCCCAGAACACCATCCTCCATCGGTCCGCTTGATCCGCGAGCTATTGCCCAGCGATGGATTACCAACCTGGAGGTCATTCTCGCCACGGGGAACTATTCCCAACTAGCAGGACTCTTCCATGAGGATTCCTGGTGGAGGGATATGCTCGCATTGGTCTGGGATTTTCGTACCATCCAGGGATGCGGAAAGATCCAAGAGTTCCTGGCTGCCAATCAGCCTCGCGCGGGCCTTTCTGCTCTGCGTCTGCAACATGAGGGCAAATTTCAGCCCAGGATGGAAAGCCCCGTGGAGGGACTGAATTGGATAAACTCCATCATCTTCTTCGAGACTAGGGTTGGGCGTGGCTCCGGGGTCATTCATCTGACGCAGAATGATGCCGGAGAGTGGAAGGCATATGCGATGTACACAACTCTGCAGGAATTGAAAACGTTTGAGGAGCCATTGGGCGTCCGGAGAGCGGATGGCACTATCGAGTCCATGCCTGGTGGACTCGGCCAGGGCAATTGGCTCGAGCGACGCCAGAGAACAATTGAGTTCAAGGAAGAAGAGCCTACGGCCCTTATTGTCGGAGCTGGTACGCGAACCTTGCCTTTCCGAGTACAGCCGAAAATAGCTAACCAAGAAACCTCTAGGCCAGGCAGGTCTCAACATGGGCGCTCGGCTCAATTCTCTCGGGATATCGCATCTCATCGTCGACCGGAACGAACGTATCGGAGATAATTGGCGGAAGCGCTATAGGGTGAGCTCCGCTTGCTATACGCATATTCTGACTGCCGTCTGACCTATCCTTAAAGACCCTCGTAACCCATGACCCTGCAGAATTCACCCACATGGCATACCTTCCCTTCCCGAAGAATTGGCCGCAATTCACCCCCAAGGACAAACTCGCCGACTGGTTCGAGGCTTATGCTTTGATCATGGAATTGAATGTTTGGCTTCAGACCTCTATCAAATCTGCCGACTATGATGATGCTCAGAAGCAGTGGACTATAGTGGTCGTCCGCGGCGATGGGAGCGAGCGCACGCTGCACCCACGCCACCTGATCTGGTGCACGGGGCACTCGGGCGAGCCCTTGGTTCCCAGCTTCCCCAATCAGTCTCAATTCAAGGGCACAGTATACCACGGCAGTCAGCACAGCGATGCATCCCACTACGACGTAGCAGGCAAAAGGGTCGTCGTGGTGGGTACTGGAAACAGCGGTCATGATATTGCGCAAAATTATTGCGAGAACGGTGCGCAGGTGACTATGTTACAACGACGCGGGACCTATGTCATTACAGTGGAGAAGGGTATCTTTATGATGCATGAGGGTCAACACGAAGATCACGGGTACGTCTCAGGTCTCTGTCTCGTGTCTGCACAGTTTACTAACCCTTGCAGACCTCCCACCGAAGAGGCCGACCTGCTTCACGAATGTCTACCATTTGCTGTCCAATTTGCCTTGGGGGAGCATTTCACCAAGCGCGTGGCACACGCCGAGCAAGATCTTCTCAGTGGCCTTGAAAAGGCTGGTTTCGCGCTGGACTTTGGCGTCAACGGTGCTGGTCTTGGCCGTGCGTATATGACTCGCGGCGGCGGATACTACATTGATGTCGGCTGTAGCCCGCTCATCGCGTCGGGAAAGATCAAGGTTAAGCGTAGCCCGGAGGGGATCTCTCATTTCACGGAATCCGGTCTTGTTTTGAAGGACGGGTCAGCCTTGCCCGCCGACGTCGTTGTCCTCGCCACTGGTTACGACAACATGCGCACGACGGTACGGAAAGTTCTGGGTGACCGTGTTGCGGACCGATGTCGCGATGTCTGGGATCTCGATGAGGAGGGAGAAATTAATGCAGTATGTTCTTGCCTTTTATTTCTGGAGGTCATTATTAACAAGTTCCTTCTACAGATGTGGCGCCCCAGCGGACATCCCGGATTCTGGTACATGGGCGGAAACCTCGCCTTGTGCCGGATCTACTCTAAGTTTCTGGCTTTGCAGATCAAGGCTATTGAAGCTGGCTTGGTGAGTGAGGGTGAGCAGGCGCAGGCTCAGGCGAAATTGTGAGTTGCTGCGTGGATGAGCGGTATATTTCGGATATAAGAATGATTTAAACAAGAATGATTCCACTGCGGATAGATGGAAAGGTAAAGTTTGATTTAGCGTTCGCGTACAGGATTAGATGACTGTTAGATTTTCTGAATGATTATGATACTATCTACATTGACGGACTACTATGAGAAGCATTCTGTGTTCGGCTAACCATGTGATGGACACGAATACGTAATGAAATTCTTGTGTTAGAACACATACTCCAGTCTGCTAAATTCACATTAACCACATGAAAGTAAATGAACCATACTATAATCACTACCCAACATACAATAACTGACCAATCACCGACTATCTAGACCTGCAACCTCTCAAATAAATGATGTTCACAACGGCCCCGCACAACCACCGAATTATGCACATTACTCAGCAAATGTAAATTAGGGCAGCGCTAAACCCAAACGCGCTAGATTCATCCACACACAAAGCGGAGTAACGGATTTTCTCGCGGCCCTCCAGCGCGGCGCCCAGCCTGATTTTCTTCCCTCTTTTGATCTTTTGACCCGATATTCAGCGCAGAGCCACACCATAAGGATTTCAAGTTCTTTTGGAAGACTGTCAGCACCATGTCTAAGATCACAGTCGGTATGTTGCCTCTTTTCCCCAACAATGGAAACAATAGGTGTATGTGTATGAAAGAGAGATGCTAATAAATGAACAGCCGGAGTGCGCCAGAACATCGAGCAGCTGCTCAACTACTCTCAGAATGAGAAGAAGAGAAACTTCCTCGAGACCGTCGAGCTTCAGATCGGTCTGAAGAACTACGACCCCCAGCGTGACAAGCGTTTCTCTGGCACCATCAAGCTGCCTACCGTTCCCCGTCCCAACATGACCATCTGGTATGATACCACCGGAATCTTCCTACGGAATAAAGAGAGACAAGGGAACAGAAGTACTAATAAGAGGATAGTGTTCTTGGTGACCAGCACGATCTCGACCGTGCCAAGCACCACGGCATTGACGCCATGTCCGCCGATGACCTGAAGAAGCTGAACAAGAACAAGAAGCTCATCAAGAAGCTTGCTCGCAAGTACGATGCTTTCCTTGCTTCCGACACCCTCATCAAGCAGATCCCCCGTCTCTTGGGTCCTGGTCTTTCCAAGGGTAAGCACCACATTCCCCATAATATCCCCCAGTCGTGATGAAATACTAAATAATCGATTAGCCGGTAAATTCCCTACCCCCGTCTCTCACGCTGAGGACATGGCCAACAAGGTCAACGAGGTCAAGTCCACCATCAAGTTCCAGCTTAAGAAGGTTCTCTGCCTCGGTGTTGCCGTCGGCAACGTTGGCATGACTGAGGACGAGCTCGTCGCCAACACCATGCTGGCCATCAACTACCTTGTCTCTCTGCTTAAGAAGGGTTGGCAGAACGTTGGTAGCCTTGTCCTCAAGGCTACCATGTCTCCCCCTAAGCGTCTGTACTAAGCGGGTCGCTTTTTTTCCTAAAAGAAAAAGTTATGTGTCACGCTGGGGGTACGACCTTTTTTTTAGGGGCTGGGATTCTGGGGTTGTGTTTCGTATCATAGTTTAGCTACTTATGGTGTGGATAATAATGTGATCCTGGGTTTTGGTCTCTATTCATTGTTCATATAAGTTGGAGCTGGTGTGGGTGTAGGTGTAGGTTTCTATTGTAGACAGTATGGTACAGTAGGTACAGAGGGACTATAGTATCGTATCATTGCATTCCAGGCATCAACTCCGTCCGGTCCAGAATCATCCCCCTCATGCCGATGAATTCCCGCAGACTCTCCCAGTCCTCACCTTCCTCTTCACCCCGCATGTAGATATCCTTGAAACCCCATGCGAGCGCAACCTTGTCGAAGGCAGCCCGCTCCTCTTCACGGGCCCAACGGTGCCGCAGCGGCACACCTGGTTGCCAAGTAACCCGCTCCATCTGATCATTCGCCGTCGTGATGGCTAGGACTCCAACCGACGTGACTCCCCCGACGTATGCCAGACCCGCCGCGAAAGCGATCCCCGTCGCTGTGCTCGGGTCCATTGTGTTCTGCAGCGTCGAGGCCCATGAAGCAAGGGTATAGCAAGCCGCAGGCGCGGCAGCAATTCCACCCAAGGGGACAGCTGCCCTCTTGAAGACCTTGGCGCGACGGAACGCCGGGGTGCTAAAGGTGGTGTCGATGATGGCCAACACTAGGGAGAGGTTGCGCTGGGCAATAGCGACATCGAGTGCCATGTCTGCGAGCTCGACGGGCACGGCGCTGTTGATACTCTTGGGTTTGGCCTTGTGGTATCGAACAGGGGAGCTGTTCTCCTCGGGGACTGGCTTGTTCGCGTACAGATGGAAGATCTCCGGGAAGTGGTCGGGGCGTTTGAGCATAGCGTGGATCTTGGTGTAACAGGTCAGGGCTTCGGGAGAGATGAACACTTTCTCATCTGTCAGGAGGTTGTGGACAGATTTGCAGAGCTGATCAATGATCTGTTCGGGTGTCTTTCGGGGCAATGTGGTGGTCGTTGGTTGCTTTTGTTTCCGGGTAGCGGCGTTCTTCCCTTCCTCTAGGTCTAGGAGGGACGAGATCTCGTCCGGTTGCTGGTTCTTGCCGGTGTCCTGCTCCGGGTGGACCATGGCTTCTGCAATTCGCAGGCATTGTTGTAGCAGTTTGACGACCTTGTCGTTGGAGGGCACAGAGTCCGTTCCCCGGAGTTCGGTGCATTCGTGGGCGATCTGGTCCACGGCTTCTTCGAAGTCCGCTGGTGTGGGGTGGCCAGGTTTGGTGGAATCAAACCTTCTGGGAATGGAAGCGTATGTAGTCGGAGTCCAGGAGTTTCTTGGGCTTCTTTGGGGGCGCAATTGGCCTGGGCGCGCATTCCGGGTTAACGGACTGGATGCATAGGATCGTACGGATTGATGAAGGGGCGCGGAAGGTGCGGATAATTGGCAAATCTGGCAGGCTAGAGCTTGCGGCCGAGCGCTCTTGTGGCCTCTGAGGGCAATGCCTCTTGTGGGGAGCATGGTTGTTTGCAGTTGTGGTGATAGTGGTGAGGAGGGAAAACTACCTGATGGGGCCAGAGAAAGACGGGGAGATGCGCAAGGCGGCGAGGGCACAACTGATTTACTGCCGCCACCAAAAGCGGGTCTCCAGGAACGACTGACTGTCTGGCGTCCATCAACCTGACGTCCGTCCCTCCGTGAACTCTCCTGCTTCTCCTCCATCAGCAACGCCCCGTAGGCAGCTGCTTTCTTTCCACACCACCCTCTCTCTGGCAACAGCAGGCTTCAAATGATCCAGCCAGCCCCAGCAGATTAGATCCCTTCGTGATCGTCTACCCACTCATTACTCCCTTCCGATTGCAAGCGTCATACCTCATCGTCTACAAACATCATGCCTCCCCCTCCGCCGCCGCCGCCGCCGCCCGGAGGGATGGGAGGTCCTCCCCCGCCTCCTCCCCCCGCGGGCAATTTGCCCAGCAGACCCTCTGGTTCAGCAGCGAAGGGCCGGGTAAGAAGCTCTTGTCTGCCAGTCTAGGCAAGTATTCGACTGCTAATGCCTTGTATAGGGCGCACTGCTTTCCGACATCCACAAAGGCGCAAAGTTGAAGAAGACCGTGACCAACGACAGATCGGCACCCATGGTCTCAGGAGGAGGCGCGAAGTCTTCCGGTCCTGCAATTCCAAGCGCTCCGCCAGTTCCGGGCATGGCGAAGCCTCCGACAGGGCTCGCACCACCCGTCCCTCCGGCACAGGCAGCGAACAGACTACGAAGCAACAGCGATACTGGTTCAGGAGGTGATGTAGTGGCGGGCGCCCCGGCGGCGCCTCAACTTGGAGGCCTCTTTGCTGGAGGCATGCCCAAGTTGCGTAGTCGGGGAGGCGTTGACACCGGAGCTAATCGCGACTCCCCATATCGATCAGATACGGATGGTTCGCGGAGCGCTCCCCCGCCCCCTGCTATGTCCGCTCCCAAACCGCCAGGTGCTCGCCCTCCGCCACGGCCCCCTGCGACAGAGTCGCCTCCTACCCCTCCAGTGAACCCGTTGGTTGCGAATCTCCGGAAACCACCCCCACGACCGGCCTCCAGGCCGTCATCGACGGTTTCGACTGCGTCCAGCAGATCCGCCCCTGACGCTCCCCCACGCGCACCGCCACCATTGCCCGGCTCTGCCAAAGCCCCGCCGCCTCCTCCAGTATCTACAAGAAAACCCTCTGCTCCTGCTCCTCCTCCACCTCCACCCCCATCAGCTAGCCCAGCTGCACCTCCGCCACCACCCCCGCCGGCTTCTGCTTCCCGACCTCCCCCGGCGCCATCACGCTCTACACCTCCGCCCCCTCCCCCTCCTGGCGCCTCTGCTCCACAGCCGCCGAACGGAACAGCTGCTGCGTCCATCGCCGTACAAGCTGCCAGAAATGCTTTGGGACACGCGCCGCCACCTCCCCCACCAGCGGCTTCGGCCCCAGCAGCACCTCCTCCGCCTCCTCCCAGTGCTCCCCCCGTCGCCCCTCCTAGCGAACCACTGTCGCGGCCCTCACCTCTGCCGTCTGCCATAGCACCCCCTCCACCTCATCAACCAGACCGTTCTACCCTGGACCCGAGCGCCTATACCCTCAGCAACGGCGGGCCGTCACCGGGAACAAGCCCTCGCAGTCCAGGCGGACATGGCATCATGCGGGTGGATGATCACCGGTTTAAGTTCCAGAGCGAAGGCTTGTTGCCCAAGCCTCGACCATTTGTGGGAGGCACCAGGCGGTATCGGGCTGGACGAGGCAGCAGTGTGCCATTGGACTTGAGCGCATTGGTTGGATAAAGGGGGTGTTGCGGCGAGACATGCGGTAGTAGATTAGGACAGTTCTCTAGGCTTGTGGATTTGCTTAGCAATTCGCATATTGTTAGTGATCGTAGGGTGTTTTTAAAGGAATGAACAGTGGTCTTCAGGTCAATTGCATTAATGCTTTGTACGCAGTAATTATTCCTATACCAATGCGTATCCGCTGGACTTACAAGTCCAGGGATCACGTAGTGAAACAATCCAAGCTTCTTTATCTGATCAATTAAACGTGATCGCCAACGCGCAGCACGGGACAGCTCCTATCACGTGATTAGCGGCCGCCGCATGGAAGCTGCGAGGATCCGGAGAAGCACGCCGCCGCAGTCCCAACATCCCAGGCCAGACCTCGCTGCTGTTGCTCCTTCCCACCGATTTTCCCTTGTTCCTTCCGATTAGCGCGTCATATACACGATTCTTCTCCTTTTGTACAGGACAGCTGGCCGACCTCGGAGCTTAGTGAGCAGAATCCCGCCAGCTTGACGATCGGAACGCGGCGACGAAGTATTTGCTGCGAGTCAAGCTACTAGCTTCCAACCTAGTGCACGAGTGCATTCGACTTGGTTACGGAATTCTAAATTATTCTCCGGATCGCCTTTACTACGAGTCAGCTGGGTTAGGTGACCTTGGACGCTGGTGCATTTTTCGCTGCTTGGCTTGTTTTACTGTTCAAAGTATTGGTGATTCGGTACTTGACCTTGACACTTTTGATCATCATGTCGCTTCACTCTTATATTAACAGTAAGTTTGGTCTTAAGAGATCCATTTCATGTCTGGGATTTAGTCTCATGGCCAGTGCTAACGTATGTGGTTTTACCCCGATATAGAGAAAGTATGCATCCTGACGGTTGACGGACGGACACTCCTGGGGACATTACTCTCGACCGACCAGCTCACGAACCTGGTTCTCCTGGACACGATCGAGCGAATCATCCGGACCCCCGACGACCCGGAACCCAGTTCCCAGATTGAACATGGGCTGTATCTGATCCGAGGCGACAACGTTGTATTATGCGGAGAGGTTGACGAAGCCATTGACAATGATATCGACTGGACGAAGGTCAGGGGAGAAGTGGTCAAAGGCACCAAGAACGCATGAAACAGCGGGGAAGCGGTGTTCCGATGATTATCTACATGACAAGGAGTTTCTTTTTCTCGCAGCAAGAAGAAAGGAAAAAAAGAGGATGAGCGTTTTAAGTGTACGATGGGGAAGTGGACGAGTTTCAACGTAACATTGGTGGCTAGTGCGTATATGGGTCAGGCGGGAACCCCCTCCCTCTCTTTGTGGTGGTCTTCGTTCGTCAATTAAGGGGAGGGGGGCAGTAAGCGCGTGCCAGTGTCAGTGCCGGCCAGGGGAAAATGTTGTTATGGAGGCGACAGAAAGAAAGCTACGCGCGCGACAGATTTACAGGAGGAGATTGGTCGGTACCAGATGATCCGTGGACATGATCGGTGCGTCATCGGGCGGGGATCGCTTTCTCGTGTGAGATGAAAAAGAGAGTGTGTGTGTGAAAGAGAGAGCTACAAGTGGGACGCGCATGGGCGCACCAGGGCGCTCATCTGATGTGATGTCGGGGCCAAGTTTAGCGGCTCGACGGGAGTTCTTGCGTTTGGGAATTGCATGGGATCAAGGAAAGGATTAGAAAAAAGGGAAGTTTGGGACTAAACAGACAAGGCATTGGGATGGCCAAAGGACGGAATGGGAGAGGAGAGGAGGGGGGAAGAGATATCCAACACTCCTGCGCGGCAGGGATGATCCATTGGACGGCAGTTTCATTGGGTGTTGGGGAGAGCAGCCGAAGTGATTGAGACGCGGGATGTTCAGGGCAGCGGTTAAGCTGGATATGCAAGGTGATCAGCCCTGGACAGGGACCGCAGGGAGACAGAAGGGGGAAAGGATAGGAAAAGGACATAAGTTGACCATTTTAACCATAATAATATCATAATCAATATGAAGAAGCAAAGACATTCATCACCTGATCCGATAATCATCAATATCGTTAGTAAGTAACTAAGGAATGCCTGGGTTGCCATGTTGCGTTGCATGTACCCAGTAACTAATAGCCATGCAGCAAGTGGCACATGCATACAGTTTGTGCTATTCTTATACCCCAAACGTTGAGATGCTTTATATTATTTCATCGACTTATGCCACCGCAGACTGCATTGCACTGCCCTGTGCACAGCAAGTGACTGCGTAAAAAGAATCAATCCGGGTGAACAGCGCAACGCAATGCAACGCGTCCCAGACTCCGTCCCGTTCGGTTCGAGGATGATTAGTATAATTCAGGGAGGATCTGACGCTGGCCGTTTTCGGATTTGCGTTTTTTATGGTTTTCCCATCTTTCCCAGGTTTCCAGGGGCTCGTCCCAAGTGGTTGGAGATTTTGGTTTGGTTTAGTTTTAGTTTTAGTTTTAGTTTTCCCCTCGTGAGATTTACCCGATTATTATTATTTCCTGCCTCCGTTTATTATTATTACTATTACTATGATGTGGGAGTCGGCAAGCAACGTCTCTCTCTCTCTTCTTGCAGGTGGAGAGAGAGAGTGTGTGTGTGTATGTATGAGAAGATCTCCCCCAGCCCGGAACTTCTTCAATAATAATAATAAAACAACATGAATCTAACAATCAATCTACTTCATGAAATTGAACAATAAATGAATTCCAAAGAAACGAAATCTAAATGTGACAGCCTGCCCCGTTTTCTCTGCCGCCCGCCCCGCCCTTGCCAAGTGCGGCCCAAAACCCGACCGTTCCAGTTGCAGTTCAATTCAGTTCCAGTTCAGTTCAGTTTGATTCCCCTGATGGCTGTTACCTGCTCGGCGTCCCATCCACTCACTCTCTCCCTCCCTCCCTCTCCCTCTCCTCTCCTCTCCTTCCCCCCCCGTATCCTCCCTCTTACTACTCTGACTCTACCCTCTTACTCCCTCTCTCTTTTGCTTCCTATTCTCTCTCTCTCTCTCTCTCTTCTCTCTCCCTCTCTCCTCCTCTCCTCCTCTTTTGTTCTTGTTCTTCTGCTTCCGCTTCTGCTTCATATTTTTTGTCATCCTCTTCTGCCTCCATCATCATCATCATCCTCCAGACCGCTTCAACTCAACCTGCAACAAACCCCCTCCTCCTCCTCCCCCCATTATCTGACGCCAATCTCCCCCCGGTCGCTGGGCGACCGCCACTTCCTACTGCACTCCGCTATCAACGATACTGTGCCCTCCTCTCCCCTCCGGTTCCCAGCGCCCTTCATGTTGTTGCGACCGTCCCGACACTCTTGTCTATACCCCGGGGTCAATAGGTCTTTCTAAGCGCTAGGATTTCCCTCTTCTTCCCGCCGGCATCGTTAGGCTAGTCCGTGGCAGCCCGTCTTCCTCTCCCTCCCTCCCTACCTCCCATCTACCTCTCTCTCTCTCTCCCCCTCTCCCTCTCCCTCCTCCTCCTCCTCCCTTACTCTCCTCCCCAACCTCCTTCGTCCGATTCTGGTGGCCAGGCCAGAATGTGGCTCTACCGTGGCGTCCAGTCCGCTGTATTCTACTACGCCACTTGCACCCCCTGTGCCAACTCGCTAGACCGCCACAAGCGCAAAAAAGAAGCCGTTCGATCGCAACGTGAAAAGGATAAGATAGATGCTACCGTCACCGACCAGCCGAGACCGTTAGCGCAACCCACCGCCTTTAGTACCAACCCAGGATGGGCCGAGGAAATCGCACTCGGTCCTGGTCCTCCCGCTAGACGAGGTGGTCACCGGAACGCGCATCGTCGAACCGACTCTTGGAATACCGGAATATCGGCGGACTCTACACAGGATGTGAGCCGCGGAGGCAACTCGGCGAACAAGAAGGATAAGAGCAGTTTGAAGCATCCGTTGGGCGATCGGTGGAGCCGCATGCGAAATCAGCGCGAGGATGAGCCATTATGGGGTCAGGATGTGGAAGTCAAGGGTTCCTCCGTCGGGCTCTCGGGTCGCGGTAAAGCAGATGCGGGCTCCTCCAGCAAGTACTATATTGCTCGTGTGCCCCCGGTCAACGACCTTCATCCTCCCATCGTCAGTGGGCCCAAAAGCCGCGCCGAAACACGATGGATGCTACAACCCCCACCCAGTGCTCGCGTGATGGCTGGCAAAGAGCGTTCGGGGGATACTGTCCGCAGCAATAACACTAGTGGACAACGCGTAGACGGTGACCGAAATGTCAAGCCCGTCACTCCTGCCCAGCAGCTCCCTCCTATAGCCACCCAACCCGCCGAAAAGAAGAATGCCCCTAAGCCTTCCCCGCTTCGCATGGCCCCCGACGGCTGGTACGATCCGAGAGCCGTGGACGACGACTCGGAAGGGGACGACGAATTCTCTCCGCCCTCATCGCCCAGAATGATGTTCGGGCGTGATGAGACCAACTTCGTAATATCCCCGTCGTTCCGCTCGCGCTCTGATTCATGTTCCACTCTGTCATCGCCCGGTGATACCGAGGTGGAGTCTCCGCGAGTCTCCTTGCATCAGCCCGGGACCCCGACGTCACGGCCTGTCTCCAAAGCAACTCAAGATAGCGGTAAACATTTCCCTCCAACGATCTCACAAGCCCTATCTACCTTGCAACGTGACAACAACAAGGTTCAATTGTTGCATTTGGAAATCAATGACTCGCCTGACGATATTGGATTAGGTCATCTTGAACGTCTCCGACCTTGGCGTTGGAGTATGGATATATGACCCTAAAGATCCGTCCGCCTATTCGCATATCGCCCAGGTCACTTGTCTGAGGGCGTGTCATATTCCCACCGTTTGCGTGCATGGTTGAATCATGGAAGCCTGCTTTGCTCTTTTTTTTCTTTCTTCTTCTCGTGTTGCTCCTTGGGTAGCAGAAATACCCCCTTTCTGTTGGATTCCTTTTCTGTTGGTTTGTTTTTGTGTATGTTTCGGCGTTGGCAGCAGCTAAAAAGCGTTCCGTTTTGATGCCCCTTGACCCATTCTATGGCAGATATATTTCTCGTTGCATCATACTGAACAGCATGGGAGTTCCCTAAACGTGTGTATGCATGGCTGGGCCAACAAACACATCCTCCTTCATCCACTCCCTCCTACATCGGGCCATGAAAGACTGTTCACATCATCATCCAACTGAAACACTATCCTTTTGCTGCATTCCGCATTCCGCATCATCGCCATTATTGCTTGGTTCTGACAATTGTGTCCGTGTGCATGTTCCTGATTCCTCTGCGCAGAGTACTATCCCTAGTCTGATTCTTTTTTCCCTTTTCCTATATATATGCTTGCTTTTGCTCTGAGCCTAGTTGTCCTGTCTGTCGTTTACTTGCTCTCTCTGTCTCTCTCACGTTCACTCTTGCCCTTCATTCGCTCTCTTTTTCTCCGACCTTACCTTTTTACCCTTCATGTATACTACTTTGTTTTAATACATATACTTAGATCGTTACTACAGTTTATGACTCTTCCTGTTTTCTTCTCACGATGTAGCGTAGCCCATAATACCAGTGTATGTCGTATACGATATATACTATACACTGTAGAAGTAGTAGTGAGTATATCAACATCTAAACAAAATACCCAATCAGGAAAGAAGCACGTCAATCCTGAATCAGTCATAGATGCTAAGTAATTACCCAAAACAGAAGGAACGTGTTCAGATCAGTCAACGTACTCCACATCCATACTTACACATCCGCTACTATATCTACAATACATACAGCTGATATATGTCACGCTACTATGATCTACCTTAAGTAACAGACCACGGAACTGGAGGGGAGGAATTTCACACAACAATAGTAGAAAACCCTACTAGTACTAATAATGTAATTAAAATGACCATTGCCCCCAAACTATGCATTCTCCATTCAGATTATACATACCATTGTGGGGATAATGAACAAACCAGGTCAAGACAAGCAGTGAGGCATGCATTTCCCTATTAAGAGATTGGTAACGCAGGAAACAAAAAAACACATTTTTTAGAGAAGATGATGAAATGATGATGCTATGATTTTTGACTCGGATATGTTCGTAGTAGTTGTGTTGCTTTGCTTATAACATAGTGGTATGACTGGACAATAGATGGTTTCTCTGTCCCAAAAAGAAAAAATGGAGAAAAAGCAAGAGAGAGGAAGATGGAGAGAAAAAAGTAAAACAAAGGTTTCATATATTGGGGGTCCTTTCCCATGGCCCGGGAATATCATATCACATGCCCAGCACTCAATGGTTATGTATGGTGTTTGTTTTCCTTAGTAGACCTTCTTCTTCTCGTCCATACTCAATTGGCCGGGACCCATGTTGACCAGGAGGAGAAGACCTCCGCTGTAGTGAGCGTATATTGTTAGCTAGAGGTGCTTTGCAATTCTTGGGGATATGGTGAACTTCAGGGCTGCTTACACAATGGACAGGATCTGGAAGAAGTCGTACTTGGCGAAGTCCTTGTGAGGGTGGTGGGGGTGAAGCTAAGGTAATGTCAGTTATTGCGCAGCGCAAAGTTTCCTGTCATGGGGCAGACGTACGGTCCAGAAGTTGTTGACCAGGACGTTGAACACACTCAACAACACGACCAGCATGATCGCACTCCACTTGGCCTTGAATCCAACAATGACCATGACACACGCGACGAAGCCGAACAGGCTGACAATAATGCGCCAGAGACTCCACTGGCCAGAGAAGACGAATCCGATGAAGAGGAAGATCAGCAGCACACGACCAGCGAACTGGACGTACATCTTGCGGTCCTTCTCATCGAGCTGGGGAAGACCGGCGGGGACGAACTTCTTGCGCACCCACGAGTCAGAGAGAACCATGAGCAAGCCACCGACAACACTCAGGTTGCGGAGGAAGAAGTTGAGGTCGAAGATCAATCCGTAACCGAGACCCTGAACGATGACGACAGCCAAGAGACCGCCAACGGCGTACTCCGTGTGTCTACGAGCAATGACCATGAACGAGCAGGCCGCCATTGCGATCATGTTGACGATAAGGAAGGTATGCGTGATTCCCCAGGGAACTGTTATGCGACGAAGCCCAAGTTAGAGTCGATCTGCGATCCGGCCCCACGGCGGGTGAGACCGGATATAGGAGGGACGGGACCAAAGCCATGCTTACTCTTCCGGTAATCACGAAGGTACAGGAGCTGATCGTTCCATTGGGTAATCATGCGTAGACTGTCCTCAATGAAGGTGACAACGATCAGAAAGCGACCAATGGCTGGCAGATACCTGAACAGCGAAGAAGCCACGGTGTCAGTGACAAGTCCTTTTCCCGCATGCGAGCAATCGAAGGTGCCTCCTTCAGCACGGAGGCTGAACCAGAGTAATGAGAGTCAGAGGTGTCTGAGGGCTCACATACGGCTTGACAGGGTCGGACATGGTGTCCAGCCAGTCCTCAATTTTGCTCGTCTGTTCGCGAACAGCATCCAGGGGACTCGGATCGCTCGTAGCCTCTACACGACCAGGACCCCCAAAGGGGTTCTGGTGGCCGAAATTGTAGCCTGCAGTGCCACGGATTTGTGCCATGGCGAGAATGGATATAGATGAAGGATAGGAGAGAGAAGCGACCGCGAAAAGTGGGAGAGGGACGAATTGAACCCTCCGCAACTAGGCCGAATAAGGGACAACAAACAAGGGTCGGGCGGGAGCCGAGAGGTTAGGTGGCAAGCTTAAGGTCTCGCAGCAGGGAATAGTAACAGGATGGGTGGCAGAGCAACCGAATTGCCTGAAAGTCAAAGAGTAAATTATAAGAAGGGAAAGAGGAAGAGGAAGAGGCAGCAGAAGAAGAAGAGCGAGGCTCACAGAAGAGGAGTTGAAGATGGATGATTGCAGCACCTCCGCGGTGATGGAGAGGAAGGCCCGTGACTGCCGTTCAGGCCACGATGACCGGAACTCGACACTAAGCCGGGAGAGGCATGGTGCGGTCCCCAGCCCGGGAGGTTCGACCCTGGCCCGTGACGCCATGATCTCCCTAACACTAAAGTAGTTCCCTCTTTTGCTTCTTCATGCCTGCTGGCTACTGCAGACAGATCTGCCCGGCACCCGGAGATCCCTCCTCATTCTTCACCGAGACCCTTCTCCCTCACTCACAGCTTGAAGCTTACAGCTCGCTCTAGTTGGCCTCCTCTTCTCACCCTCCGTTATCGAGGGCTTACACCACCTCCCAAATGACCATAACCCATGCAGCGGAGTCCGGTCGGACATAGCCCCCCACAGTCCAACAGGGACCGAATTTTAAGTCGTTCGGCGCAGGATCCGGCGTCTGAAACCCGATCATTATGAAACAGGAACCATCCAACCTGGCACACTCAACCCGGGCAGAAAGGAGCATCAGGCCCTAAAAAAAGATCCGGCGAGGATCCTTGCGAAATAAAGGAGCATTGAATTGTAGTCAGCTACTTAATTTATGGTGTTTAAAGAGAATTAAACCCCCACAACTACTCCGTACAGCATCAAGAATCGAAAAAAGGTTAAAATAGAAACACATAAAATGCCAGGTGGCCCTCCATAAGGAAAAAAAGAAACCATCCACGCTTACACTGATATCACATCCACAGCCATCCATGCTATTTTCGCCAACGCGGTCGCCATGCCGCTCGCGTACTAAAAAGGTATTTTGGAATAGTAGGTAAGACACATCAGGAAATGTTGGCAAGTATGGCCAATTCAGAGGCGACCCAAACTTGCTATCTGTCAGTCCCATAAAAGGAGGGAACCCCAGAGTGCATGGGCCGAGTACAGTGCCGGGCTGCAAAAGGGGCAATCCTCCGAGCCAATAAGCAACATCACAATATTTAAGGGAGAAAAAACATAGAAAGGCGAGAAAATAAGGAGAATCCAAGACTAAAATAATAATAAGAATAAGATGAACCGAGCATAACGATGAAATAATACATGAGATCTCTTTTTTTTGTTTGTTGGGGGGTTTTGCGTGTTTCTTCGGTCAAGTCGTTGCGTTTCTGCCACCGCTGAATCTCACGGTCAGATCTGAGCAACTCGCCAGAATACATGGTACGTTTTTGGTATAATGGAGTGCCCCAAACGCCAAAGCCATGAGTAATAAATACAGTTCAGGAAATACGGGCGTCCTGAATCAATCACAGACAAGCATGCCTCTCGGGGCTAGCTTCGGTGCCGTCTGATCTATGGAGGGTTTAAGCAGCCCAGTCGGAGTCCAGGGGGTGACCCTTGACATCCGAGCGAAGGATATCGGGAAGGTAGGTGGGCGTCACCTTCACCTTGGGCTGCTCAACAGGAGTGGGGGCAGCAGCAACAGGAGCGGGCTGGCTTTCAGGAGCGCTAGCCTCGCTCTCATCAGTCTTACCTCCCTTCTTCTTGGTCTTCTTGCTGGACACGGTGGTCCACTGGTCCTGGACGCCAAGAATGCGCATCTGCTCCTCCTCGGAAGGAAGACCGGAGTCCCATTCCTTCTTGGGGGCAGCCTGAGCGACGGGAGTCTCCGACTCGAAGGTGTCCAACAATTCCACCTTCTGGGTCGGGGCCGCCTTGGGGGTGCCGTTGGTGACTGCGGGAGCAGCCTTGGTCTGCCAGGCGTTGGTCGGGGGAGGAGACGGCTTGATACCCGCCTCACGGCGTTCAGCTTCGCGAGCCATGTGGAGCTGCTTCTCGAGCAATTTACGTCTCTGCTCCTCGGCCTCCTGGACCTGCTGCTTGCGGGCCTCGTTCTTCAAACGCTGCTGACGCTGCTTCTTGGTCTCAACCTGCTTGAAGGACTGGGGCTTCTGCTTTTTGGGGGCATCCGAGGACACAGCACCGGTGACACGGAGAACCGATGCGCCCGGAGCGGGCTCTTCAAGCATATCCGAAACGTATCCAGCGGAACCAGTAGTGGCGTTCACCATGGGAGAGCCAGCGGGGGAGAGGTCATCATCGGCATCGGCTCCGGTAGTAGACGAGGTGCGAGTAGAGACACGGGAGGCAGAGCGCTCGCCGTTCTCAACCTGAGCGGCCTTGGTCTTCTTCTTCTTCTGAGACTTGCTGCCACCAGCGCTGGCGCTGCCGCTAGACTGCACGGGAGTTCCGTTCTTCACGGCGGCAAAACGCTTTGCCATTTCCTTCTTGTCGATCTCCTCATCCGCCTCATCAGACTTCGAAACAGCAGGCTGGACTGCGGGCTTCTCCTCAACCGACTTGCTAGGGGCAGGTGTAGGTTCCGGGGACTTCTTGGTCTTGCGCTTAGGCTTCTTTGCGGCCGGCGCGGGCTCCGTCTTCTCTACGACGGGCTTTATAGGGGTCTTGTGCTTGGGGTTCGGGCCATTGTAGTACCAGCCCAGGCCACCTGCCACGACGAGCAGGAGAGCCCAACTGATGTAAGGGTTCATCATCGTTAAGAGCTATAACACGTTATAATGGTCAGTCTGCGCATCACGGAATATTAGGGAGGTGGTGCTGGGCCCAAAACATACATTGAAAATAAAACTTGACGGACGTAGCAAATATCGTTATAATGTCTCAAATATAAAAGCCGACTTCAATCGATGACAGAAGGTCTTGAAGTTGTCTAATAGCCAGGCGCGTGACGACACTCGGCGAGAAAGGAGAAGAAAAAAGAATAAGGAGATCCAACGAGGATGTCCAGAAACGCGGGAGAAAAAGAAAATACAAGGGGAAAAGAAAAAAGAAGTATAGAGCAAGCTTCCGCAGATCCTCTTCTTAACCTCTAATCATCGAGTCGTCGAGACACAGAGGGTGGTTGGAAGACAAGGGGAAAGGGCAGGCCAGTCGCGCAGAAAGGCCAGATTGCCTCGTGGATCTCGGATGCTAATACCACTTGAGCTGTAAGTCTAGTCGCGATGAAGCCAGAAGACGAAGAAAAAGCTACCGCTCTGCAATGCAGTCGATAGCTTGCAGGCAATTGAGCGCGTAGCCTATGACCTCAGTGTCGGGAGTTGGTTCAAAGGTTCCGACTGCGCTTTGCGGCGAAGAGAAAGGTGGTACTGGTAGCGAGAGTCGGGATGAGGTAAGGGAATAACGGATACCTGGAATCACCGAGCGGGCATCGAGGCACCCGTCAACCAGAGAATTGGGGGTTTGGTGACACTAGGTGGGTAAGGAGGAAGGAAGATAGGAGGAAGGTGAGAAAGAGGAAGGGTTGGGAGAGAAAGAGAAGAAAGGAGGAGGGCGGAAGTGGAAGAGGACACGGTCTGGAGAAAGATGAAGGGGTTGTCATGAACTACTACCTTCTTAGTGTCCGTCCGTGAATAATAAATTACAGCGGGAAGAGGAGGAGACGGTGATGGCCGTGCTGGTAGTACTGTATCTACGCAGTATCGCAGTCACTGCGAGGGAGGTCAGAGCTCGTAACGGTAATACTGGCTGCCTGTTTGGCTTGAGAGATCCACTGGAGATCAACATCACGATTGATAGTGAATCTCTCATTCAGGATCGTTGGAATGAGTCAACAGGTTTCCCCGGTAGTTTCTTTTCACTGCATAGTTGGTATCTTTTTTATGAGTTAAATCAAGTCAGGGGCTGACATGCTTGTGGCGCATTTCAAGATCTAACAAGGCACCATCGCCTCGTATCAACCTGACTGTCATTGGACATAAGGCGGTCTTTGTGTCTTTTGTCACTTCATGACAGTTATTACACCGGAGACAAGTGTACCGCCCGTGAGGCCTCACTGACCACTCATATTAATGGAAACAGCAAATGCTAGCTAGTTAATATTACTATCGTTGATCCAACGGTTATTAGGCTCACTATAGGTGTATATATAATATCAAATTAAGTGGAGGACACTATCCCAGCAGGGAGATTACGCGGGGGAAGATCTTCGACATCTTCAAAGCTGGTTCGACCATTGCACGCTGCAATGTCATGTCTTTCCCCTGTTCGACGGGCGTCTAGACGAGTCGACGGAAGATTCCGTCCTCGAATGAAGATTCCACGACCCCAGCTACTAGCTCAGCGGTAGTTGCTGATAGGTTTGTAAATAGTCCACCAGGTGGCAGAGCAATCGAATCACCAAACTAAGATGCGAGACTAGCCTGCAAACCAACTTTTATTTCGGGAGTATCGGCAGTTACAGTTACACTATGACGGGCACAGTAACGGGTGTACCTCGCCGTAACTTTACGGGGGTAATACCGGCTCCCGAACAGGCCACGTCTCGGGTTTCGCTCAGGCCCCGGAGGTCCTTCCGTTGTGCTCAGGGCAGCTTAATCTGGAGGGAGTATCAGAAATCAGAAAAAACATGTAGTCTAGTATATTCCTGTCCGTTCATAGTCTGTATTATTCAATAATGCAGGCTTATTGACCATTTAGACGCTTTCAGAAGCAGGGACATTAAAGGCATAGCATACAGAGCTCCAGACCCCTTGCAGAGTAACCACGAGGTCCAACAGAAATGTAACCGCAAACAAAGCCATTTGATTGACAGGCGTGATAGAGTGAATGATTGGCTGTCACAATCCAGGGATCTCGATGTTCTGTGATAGTTACACATCAGTTACACACACGCATTGCGCCTGACATCAATGCTGGGAGGGCAGATGATCCGAGCCCGTTACGGACTCCTCAGAGGTCTGTTCCAAAGTCCGACCCTTTTGGAGAAAAGAAGCTCTAAAGAAGACTGGTTTGATGCTGCTACAAGCCTAGCTTAGGAGATTACTAACTATACATGCAACTCCTCATGCTTCGGGGATACCGATTTCGATCGATGTGCATTCTCCCTTAATTACTTGGATACCCTTGCCCCGTGTCAGACCCACAGTATGTTAAAGCAAAGCACGAAGTAATGTATTCTCTCGATTATTCAGTGGATAGTCAACGATGCAGATAACTAGTTAGTTATCTTGTTCAGTCGGCATGACTAATGGCATATCCGTCCGAGTGTCTATTTCTGCTCGGGGACTCGGACAGATAGCTGGAAGTGGAGAAGCCATGATAACGCCGGCCAAGACCATCCCACTTTCCCCTCCATCGCCCGAAACCCGCGTCATCGCAGATTTTCCCGCCAGAATCGACTTTGTTTGTATCACAGAAACAATATACTTGATTGGATAGAGGCAGACTTGGGCACGCAAGCTGAAGCTGTAGCAATGGCACCGAAAAAGATCATCATCGATACCGATCCCGTATGTTAATTCTTCGGTTTTATGATCCCATCCGAGCTCCACTTCCGACTCTCCAGGATGCTTGCTACAACCTGTGCTGATATTCCAGACAGGGTATCGATGACATTCTTGCCCTTCTTTTGGCATTTTCCGCCGAGCCTGAGGATGTTGAGGTTCTCCTAATTTCCCTTACATTCGGTAACATCGAGGTGAAAAGGTAAGCTAGCGCTGTCCGCTGCTTGATAGTACGGCCTTATACTCACTCAAATAGCTGCCTGCGCAATGTCGTCTCCATGTTCCACATCCTTGAGCGGGAGATGAAATGGCGTCGAGAGCAAGGTCGGCCAGAAGGGTTTGGTACTCTCCGCGCTTCTCCTCCAATCGTTGCTGTGGGTGCAGAGAATCCCTTGGAGGGTCAAACGATGCTCGCAGATTACTTCCGTGAGTTTCAGGAATGGCAAGTTTTGCTAATCAACCCGCCATGCTGACCCTTCTGTAGACGGTACGGACGGGTTGGGAGGTATTCATGCCAGTGTACGTGAAGCAGGCAGAGCTACAATCTACAAAACTTGCAAGGCTGCTAACACACGGATCCTCAGCATCCCCACCTCACTCCAAAAGAAGCTTGGGAGCATCTCTTCGACCCTTCACCTGATTCCCGCGAGATCAAACCCGTCCCAGAGGGAGATCCAGCTCATCGCTCATTCATTCCTTCCAAGCGGCCCGCACACGAAGAGATTCTCCGTATCTTGAGCGAGAATGACCCTGACACCATCACTCTCGTGGCAGTTGGTCCCCTTACTAATCTTGCGTTGGCATCTGCTGCTGACCCGGAGACTTTCCTCCGAGTCAAAGAGGTAGTGGTGATGGGGGGAGCAATCAACAAACCTGGAAACGTGCGCATTGGCCTGAACCCAACTCCGTCTGGGGATTGAAGAGTCATGAGATGCTGACAGCTTCTAGGTTACCCCAGCTGCGGAGTTCAACGCATACGCTGACGCAGTTGCTGCAGCAAGAGTCTATGCTCTCACGTCGCCTTCTCCCAGAAGCACTCTGCCGCCCGCGACGAGTCTCCCCGAATACCCTCCGAGCCTTAGCAAGCAGCTCACTCTTCGCACGTTTCCCCTTGATATTACGCTGAGACATGGTGTGACGCAAGGCCAGTTCCGGCAAATCATTACGCCGCTTCTGGAGGGTGGATCACCTTTGGCTGAATGGGTGGCTGCCTTTATGGCCCATACTTTCCGTACGCTGGAAAGACTACATCCCGGGCACGTGGGCGATGCCGCGGACCTTAGTCTGCACGACCCTGTATGTGTTTGGTATGCTATGACCGCTGAAGATGAAGGGTGGAAGCCTTCAGCGACGTCACCAGAAGACATTCGCATTGAGACTACTGGCCAGTGGACGCGGGGCTTGTGCGTTGTCGACCGACGAAACCGGCATCGCATCGAGGCCGATGAAGAGAGCGCAAATGATCACGGCCTGTGGCTAAGCCTGAGGGCTGGGAACCGCGTGTGGAGAATGGATAGCTCCCCTGTGGAAGACACCTTTGGTGAGGTACTCCTCCAAAGACTGTTCACTTGAGGTGGTGCCGCATAAGAGGAAAATACGCTCACCACCTAGCCTTCACTGCGGTGCACCGTGATTGGCTAGTCTAGCTGCTTCATGTCCCATCGATGTCCGAGTTTTACTATATCAGTAGAGCGGAAATATATCCTGTAACTAGCGTTAGTCGGTTGGACTCCAAAGCTGTTGAGGAGTAAGCCAAGGTGACGGACCTTTTGTCTGGTACCAACCAGTACGCACCAGGCTGATCTAGAGTTAACCATTCCACGTCTATGGGTGACCAAGTATCTCCACGTACGCCAGTATCTAGCCAAGAAACAACCGTGTAGTGGGGTGTTACCTCAGCCGTTGCACCAAGCGGCCGTCTAATTGTACTAAACCGCTTCGGATTAACCCATCTTAAATACGAAGCAGCACACAAGTCCGGGGTGGAGAATTGCGGCACGGAGAGCATCGCATTGCCCGATAGCTACGATTGACCAGAACCAATCGAATAGCAACAGAGAAGATTGGCTTACCGTGGCAAGCGACAATCCGGGCAGAGACTACAGGTGCAGTGCGGGGCATGTGCTTGCGTGTGGTAGTTCTGCCCCGCTATTGGAAAGTGAGAGCTTGCAAGAGGTATTTTGGGGATGCCAGAACGATACCAAAAGTGAGTATGTTGGCGTTGATGACCAATGGAGAAGACGGTATGGTTGGTTGGTAATAATGGAGCAATTGGGGCGTGTCTCGGGCGCTTGGCCCAGCTGAGCATGACGAGTATGATGCGGAGAGTTCCCGGGCAGCAGAGACGACCTGCCTGTCCGGATACGAAAGGGGAAAGGACCGGAGAAGGGACATGCACATGCGACCCCGTGTGGCAGGAGGGTCCACTGGTTGGGAGGACGGCTTGCACGTGCTCCAATGCCCCCTCTGGACGAGAACGTCGCCAGGCTTCAACAAGCGGCCGAGGCGAGATCATGACCATTTGAATCCCGAGACGAATGCTCAGGCTTTGCGGGTCCGGAATATTAGACAGATCCACTTTATGGGCACCTTTACTCCTTGACGATTGTGAGTGAAGTCGATGAGGATCCATGGTGTGGTTGGTATTTCCCTTCCTCCACTTCCCCTCGCTTCACCTGCCTGGGTCCTGTCACGTTGATGAAACCCGAGCATAGTTTGAAGGGCGAGAGAGATACTTCGGGGAGTTATGAAACCGAAGAATCTGGCTGTCACTCCGACTAGTATCAATGGAAAAGGATCCGGGGTCAGTCGGGTGGCGACGCAAGTCTCTGCGCTCTTTAAATGGCACCAATTAGCGTGTCGTTTGTGTGGGCGTGGTCCATTCCGCAATATTATCTAGATGGTAGTCAGGCTTAAAGGAGTAGGGGATCTGAACCCCATCTTTAGTAGTTTGGCAAGTGCAGGTCAGAATCGGAAGCAGCTTGGTATCTAGTACCTAGGAGGTATCACTCCGGCACCCGGGGCTTGTGGGGATTTCCGATTGCAAGAAGAAAGAGAGCTTAGTAGTAATAGTATGCAAGTAGACTAGATAGACGATAATGTGATTAGTCCACAGTAGACTGGTTTAGGAGGAGTACCTCGAGTACCTACTTTAGAGGAAAGAGAGGACTCGAACAGTAAGGGACGTGAGCCGGCAGCTCGTACAACCCATAAGAACTCTGGACCGAAGCACGAGCCCCAAAAGCGTCGGCGGTTTGGCCCCAGGCAACCGGTCTCGTGCCCCCATCCGCCGATGCTGTTGGGCCAATGACGGGCCTGCAAGCTACCGCGTGGGCTTCTTTAAGCACGCGACACTTGGAATTGCCCTCCGCTTCGGGGTGGCCAGTCCCAGCTCCATCCACGGTTAGAGTACCAAGTGAGTACCTGCTACTCTTACTCTAATAAGGTGGTAACATCATCCCCTATAGTGAAATGGGTGTGTGTGCATGCTGGCTGCAGCAACCAGCCACTACTACTACTGCTACTACTAGATAGGTAATGAGCAAGCTTCCCGAAAATCCAGAATTCAAAGCCAATCGCCCCCTCACCCCCCGTCGATCATCCCGATTAGAATTTGGGAAAAGTAACCACTACTTTTAGTCACTACTTACACCGTAGAAGTACCTGTTCTTATCGCAATCCCACTTTCCCCCCGACCTATTACCTCCGTTCAAACTATTAACTACCTCGTTGTGTCGCCTCTCTTCTCCCTATCCATCCATATAAACTTACCCAGGTACCAACACTTTCGGCACGGCGTTTGGCCGTGCGTCTTTCTTTGTGCAGGAGCCCCAACTCTCCGTCACCAGCTGTTCACTTCTGGTCACATTGCTTTTTCCTAAATTCAATAACCGTTTCTGCGTCCTGCCCATCCAACTATCTCTTCCCTTTACCTCTCCTCTCTTGTCCTATCCTATCCCAGTTGTCCCCCCTATATTCTTCATCTTTCACGGCTTCCGACTGTACGACACTCAACGGGTTGTCATCCAACGCTGCTCCACCATTGGCCCAATCTTACTTTCTTGACTGGACCATCCATCCTATTAGCCCGTCTAATGAGACAGTAATCATCGGGTTGGCATCAAGCGTTTCACACCCACAGAGACCATGTCACGCTCTCGTCTGCCACCGACCCCTGCCATGTCGGGCGAGTTCATAGTCAAAGACAATGCATCGGTGGATGCGTCGGATCCATTTGCACTGCCTCCAGCGGCCATTAGTCCATCCAAGATGCAAGCTGCTAGCAGGAGACCATCCAAAACTGAACCATCCGCTTCCTTCCCAGCATCTCCAGCATCGCCGGATCTCGCACTGGGTATCATGGCGAATTCCCCGCGTCAGACTGGTGTCAAGAGACCTCTCGAAGACTTTAACCTTCCACCGCCCCCCACACGCACTCGCAAAATCATTCAGATGAAGCCCAAGACCCAAAGCCCACCAAAGCCGACCGCACCAGCCAGCAAAGCCTCTTCAAAAGATAATGGCAAAACACCAGCAAACAATGGAGCCTCAGCCAACTCCAAGAAGAAACAACCCAGCGCAACTAGTGCAGCGGGCCGAAAAATTGCTAGGAAAACAGCTCACAGCCTGATCGAACGGCGGCGGAGATCTAAAATGAATGAAGAATTTGGAACTCTGAAAGACATGATCCCGGCGTGCAAAGGACAGGACATGCATAAGCTCGCCATTTTACAGGTTTGTCCCGACTTCAATCTTCGACGACCCCTGTCCTTGAGCCGGTCGCTAACCGTTCCCGATGGCCTAGGCAAGCATTGATTACGTCAATTACCTAGAACAATGTATACTCGATCTGAAAACTGCCGGTAATCGACACGCAATGGCCTCGCCGCGAATGCCTCCCGCTCCTCCTTCCCCAACATCTCCGGAGGCTCTAGCAGAAGAATCGGGCCTGTCCTCGGCTTCCGTGTCTCCGGAACTAACTCCAACTGATGCTGCGGCGGATGCAATCTCCCCGGCGTTCTCTCCCCGAAGTGGTGGTCCTATCGGGACGGCGCCCGATTTTGCGTCCTCCATCACGCCAAGCCCGGCACTGGGTCCAACCCACCCATCCGACAATCCGTCGCGTTCTGAGCGTAGCTCATGGGCTGTGTCTTCTTCCAGCACCTCCCCAGTAATGCAATCTCGGTATTCCATCGCATCTTCTGCCGATGTGGACCACGAAGCATCCGCTGCCCTACTAATGCTGAACCGGGACTGCCGGGGCTCTGTCGGCTCGGTCCACGACGTGCCCACCAATTCCCTCACCCGGCATGGGAATCCCCACACCCAGGACCCACAAAGGAAGATCGGGATGAGCGTTAAAGACTTGCTTATTTCCTAAGGGTCCTGGTGGCCGGCTTGGCGCTCTCTATCTTCCTTTTGGAGTCCTTTTATGATGTACCAGGTGTAAGTCACGGGGATAAATTGGCGTGCGGGATATTGATATCATGAACTAGTAATGAAGGGTTCGGACGGCGCTTGCTTTTTGCTTTTCATGGTTATGCTTAGCAGTTCAGGTTGTTCTTTTCAGGTATGTGGGCTGGTCCAATGCGAGTTAACGGTTAGTTACGTTTCGAGCGCGGCTTTTGGTTATGAAAGATGCCATTTGGGCTCGTCCGATAATGTTTCAAGGGCGGATTGTTTGCAAGTTTGTCATGTCAGATAGAATCTAGAAGAGCTTCTGGGTCACAAAATACATGAATAATCTTACCAGAAGAACCCGCGGCGAGGCTACGCAACTGAGCCCATACTAACATTCCAACCCACATTACTCACTCGGGCCCATGAAAACACCTTCACGAATACAAATAAGGCAACATCACAACGCCAAACACCACCCCATCCCTCCTCATACGGTCGTCCCAATAAGGTTTAACATACTTCCCCATGACAGTCCTTCTGCTTACTATACTTACAGCACCTGTCCACAACGACACTTAAAGCCCCGCCCAGCCAAGCACGAGCCAAGCAACAACGTCGTACTTTTTTTTATTCCTCTTTCCTCTCTCTCGGCCTACTCTCAGGCCCCTATCAAATACCTAGAGAACCATCTAGAAATCTTAATCCACAACAATCACTTGACCAACATCTACCCGCACAACCGTGCGCTTAGAGCATACGATAAGTGGATGTAGTGGTGTTGGTAGCAATGACGACGATCCCGTCCAGAAAAGTGCCGCACATCCGACATCTCCAAAGTGATTGACGAAGAAGTACTTTAGGTACGGTGATTTCTCGGTCTTTCCCGAACTGGACAGATGCGTGTAATAGTATTGTGTCTAGACGCGGCTATCGGTATTAAGTGGTTACCCCGCACGCAACTTAAGAATCCGGCTTCTTTGGTGCTTCTAGGCGGGTTCCATTCTATCACCTTGATTGAATTCTCTTCTAGCTGTCGGGGGTTTAGTGGAATGTAGTGGTTGTGCAGAGAGGAATTCGGCCAGGCGAGGCGATTGGTGTGATGATGATTATGAAGATGATTGAAGAATGTCTATGTTTGCTTTTTTGAGCCAGTGGGGATGTCGTCCACACCACAATAGCTACTAACTTTCTGGTAAAAAGAGAAGGGGAATAGATACTCCGCGGAATTCCATTGAAGCTTTCGCTTCTGTCAAGCGGACGAGCCTCTTCCCACCCCACTTTCTTGGAGGGCACCCGTTCCACTACACAAGCATTTGGAGGCGATGTAGTTCAAGCATACTCGCTTTCTGCCAAGCCCCAAGACATGCATGAATCCTGAAGGATTGCTGGTGCGGAGTAGTATCTAGGGGTAAAGGGGCGGGGATGTGGGAGACTGTGGCATTAGTACCCATCAACATTAATCGGTGAGGCAGTCAATGACAGCGGAATATTATGTGCAGGGCATGGTACATGAAAAAGAAGTGAAGCAGCTAGTGTAGGTACGGCACATTTCACAGATAGGCACTGCTTTTCTTTTTTGGGGGGCGGCTCATACACGTAGTAGGAATGTTCGCACAGCCTCTATGGCCAAGATGAAAGGCAATGCAGATTAACCCTTAACTCTGTGGATGTCCTTGGGTTTGGGGGAGAAGATCTACAAGTGGCAGATCCACCACCATCCACTTTGGGTAGAATAGTACTTGGTCGGGTGCAAACTAGCCAAGTTTCTAATGACGTTGCTTGGACTAACTTTTTGAGTTTCTCTTTCTTTTGGCGGTGTCTTTCGCAAAGAAACTTGGGTAGAGTATCACGACCGTACGAGATTCGATTCGGACTGATTTGCAATCTGCCTGAGTTGCAGATCAGTGCAGTGGCGCTCTCCCGGATTCCTTGGGAAATCTTGTCCGAGTACTAGTATCGTCGAGGCGGAAAGAAAAGAAAAAAGGCAGCCCCCATTCACGTTCAGACAGGCTCAGGCTAGTGCGAGTTAGTGCACTCCACGGATGCCCCCGCACTGCAGTGCCGCGCTATCCACGTCTGCCCCGGTGACCCTTTCCCGTGGGCCCTTGATAGTAGTTAGTAGGGCTGCAAACTATATATTCCCTCATTACGCCACAGCCTCTCTCCCCTTCCCACCCCCCCGCCGTCTTGCACACCCACGCACCACTCGTCATTTGATGGCACCAACATTATCACCCTTCGGCGGCTCTGAAATCTTACCATGTCCAACAAGTTTCGTTCCTTGCAGCGAAAGAAGAACGCCCGGTCCCTCGTCTCCGAGGACCCATGGAAGGTCGACACGCCCTTCGGACCGCCCCGAATCCCACATTTTCCAGGTCGGGGCATGCGGCGCCTTCGCAGTACGCTTCAGAAACTATCGCCGTCTGCACGCGCTGAGAGAGAACTTCTCAGACAAAAGAACAGATACAAGATCCCCTTGACTGAGAGGAATGTCGATGCTCTGGTCACGGAGCAGCTGTTCACCGATGCTTGTTATCCTGAAAAACATAGCAGAGAGTTGCAGATCTCTGCATGGCTGGAGCGACTGTCCTACTGAGACGCGCTATCCTTACGTACCTCCTCCTGTACCTCCTTCTGCGGGGAACATTATCGAACACCGACACTTCCTTGCGCACTGACCTTCCCGCTTCTTCTCTCATCCCGAATGAATACGTTCGATATCAGTTTCAAGGGATCAAGCTCGTGTACCAGTTGTTCAGTTCTCTGTCTCAGCACTCTGGCCGACCGATACATTTGGAATTTGTTGTTCACTCGCCATGAGGGTTTGTGCTTGGCATAACGGTTGATCCACTCGATGGCGCAGCCATGCATGCAGGTGTCGGCGCTAGAGGCAAGACACTTGGGGCATGGGGTAGCGTGCGCTTTGCTTCCTCTTGTAAAGCAAATTAAGAAACCGTGTTTCAACAAGCAACGCCCGGGTGGTCTAGTGGTATGATTCTCGCTTAGGGATACAAACCCAAGCATATCTGCGAGAGGTCCCGCGTTCGATCCGCGGCTCGGGCCGTTTCACTTTTTGTTTTTCATCCTTTACTATCTATCTTCATGATGATGATGATGATGATGATGATGATGGTCAATTCTCTGTTGCTTAAGAGCTCTCTCTCTCTGCTTAAGGGAGCCCTTTTTGCAGATCTACGGCTTAATGGATGGTTGATCCATCGGTTGCTTCCACCTATCATTACTCGATTCGTCTGTATAGCAAGGTGCCTGGAGCGATGGTGTGCTTTCTTAGAGGTGTCCTTTCGTTTGTTGCTAGAATGTTATAGTAGTAATTCTTGGTTGTCATCCTTGGCAGGTGTCTGAAATTAAAATAGTACGGGGCTTGCGACAGTGAGGCTCTGTCAGGCATTGAATGTCTGCCACTAATCTAATGATGCGTCCACTACTGCATGGGCATACATTTAGTCGTAAACTAGTAGTGTGCACACCTGTGAGCATCATGTCGCAAGAATATACATACTATATATATCAGCTCTATAACCAACGAACCAACCCACAATCCACTGCCACGCAATCCAACCTAATAAATACTACCAGCAAACTGCAATTGCGCCTCCATGTCCCTGCAAGGCTAACGAACAGGGGTTCATTCTTTAGCCGCGCGGTGATGGATGAGGGGTAAACTAGCGAAGCAGCTGAGGGGAAGAAAGAGAACATCTAACCGCCCAGCTCAACAACAACTCCACCATTCCTCCAACTCTCACCACCAAGTCTCCGGACCAAGACATCCAGCTGTATATATAATGGTCCAACCGAAGAAAGTCGCCATAATCGGCAAGTAACCCCCTCACCTTCAAACCAAGATCCCCCCATCTAACAAACCACCACAGGCGCCGGCCCCTCGGGACTAGTAACAGCCAAAACCCTCCTGCACAGCTTCCCCGAGGGCACCTTCATTCCCAGTGTATTCGAGAAAAACAGCCGAATTGGGGGTCTCTGGCCCACAGCGGTTGACCATGGTGCCGAGAGACGGCTCAACCCGTGGATACGGACGAACTTGAGTCGGTTCACGGTGGCTTTCTCGGATTTAGCGTGGGAGTCTGTGATTGGGGAGGGGGAGCTGTCCATGTTCCCGCAGGCGAGACAGGTGGGGCAGTATTTGGAGAAATATACGAATTTGTATATTCCCAAGGGGGTCTTGAGGCTGGGTAAGGAGGTTGTGAGAACGGTTCGTGAGACGGATGGATTGAGGGCTAGGTGGACGGTGCAGTGGACTTCGAGAAGGTGTGTCTTTTCTGTTTATCGTCCAGGTGATGCTGGATGCTGTCCACGGGGCTGGCTAATTGGCTCACAGCATAGATGCAAATGGCATTGAGTGCAACGGGCCTGAGATGGAATCGGAGGAGTTCGACTATCTGGTGGTCACGTCTGGATACTTTGCCAAAGCTCACTTCCCCGATATACCTGGTCTGGCTGGGGTCGCTGATAGGGTTGTCCACAGCTCTGAAGTGCAGACTATAGACGATGTGCAGCAGCTGCTGGAGAGGACTGGGTCCTCGGGTGGCAAGCTGGTCGTTATTGGGGGCAGTATGTCCGGAGTAGAAGCTGCTTCGACAGTGGCGCTTCATCTATCTACGATGGATTACAAGCCCCCAGTGATACAATCCGGACGTGACTATGAAGTCCATCACATATCCTCGAGACCCTTCTGGACAATACCCACCCACCTTCCCCACGATGGCTTCCAGGATAATACCAAGACGCAAAACATGCAATTTCTACCCCTTGACCTCGTCTTCTACGATCTTGCCCGACGCCCTCCCGGCCCAGTCGAATACGGACTCGGACCGCTCTCCACAGAACGCATACACAAAACTAATGAATACTTCCGCTCCCTCCTCGGCGCCGAGTACGCAAAAATCGGCAGCTTCGGAATCGGCAACAGCGAGAGCGAAGATTCGCAGCCATCATGGATCGGCATAGGAGACGACTACGCTGAATACGTCCGCTCCGGCTTCATCAAGCCCACCATCGGCCGAGTATCCAGCATCAACAGCCCATCAACACTCACCGTCACTCTACCCAACGGCACCCAAGATACCATATCCGACATCACCGCCATAATAACAGCCACCGGCTACACCCCCTTCTCATCCCTCAGCTTCCTCCCCTCTCCCATCCTCTCCACCCTCGAATACTCCACCAGCGACCCCTTCATCCCCCTCATCCTGGACGGCAAAGGCACCTCACACGCCGAAATCCCCGACCTCGGCTTCGTCGGCTTCTACCGCGGACCCTACTGGGGTGCAATGGAAATGCAAGCCCGCAGTCTCGCAAACACATGGGTCAAAGACCTCTCCTTCACAGGCCCCTACTTCACCAACGAAGAACTCACTCAAAAGACCAACGAACGCGACCTCCTCCGCACTCTCCGCACTACAACCCTCCCCCGCAGCCAATTCCCCATGGGCGACTACGTAGGTCTCATGGAGACCCTAGCCCGAGAGCTCAACATCCCTCGAGCCCCTATCCCCACCACTGCTCAACCCCATACCCAAAACCATGACAATACCAACCACGGCCCCGTCCTCCCCTCCCGCTACATCCCCACCCCATTCCTCACCCCAACCCCATCAGACCGCCTCTCCACCCTCATCGACCGCGAAAGCACCAACACCCTCAAATCCCTCCAACGAACCATCACCCCCAGCCCGACAAACTACAACCTAGGCATGGGAATGGCCATCTTCCGCGCCCTTCATGGACAATGGACCTACACTCGCACAGTCACTCACATCTTACCCTCACCGTCACCGTCAACATCTCTCCCCACACCGACCCGCTCATCCCAACTCTCGCAAATCTCAGGAACAGCGACCTTCCATCCTCGTCGTACATCTAGTATCTGGTACGAGAAGGAGTATGTATATGAAGAAGTTCACACCAACAACAATACCGACTTTGAGAATAATCATAATACTATTGTCAATGATGGGGATAAATCGACCAGAAAACGCTACATATACCGCCTCACAGAAGGAACCTGGAGCAAGAAGAACGGCCAAATCCTCATTTGGAACGTGGACATTGATCCTTTCCACGCGGGGAAGTTCTCGCATGGAATGTTTGTGGGGTTGGCAGAGAAAGTATTGACCCCGGCTGATGGTGACGATAAGGGAATGGAGGAATCAAGGTATGTGGTTCGGGCTGCGGCGGGGGCGATACCGATGGATCGGGAGAAAGAGAGGGACCCGAAGTATGAGTATGTGTTTCGGATGGAGGGGGTGTCAGTTTTGATGTGGGAGTGTGTTATAAGGGAGAATGTGGTTGGTGGTGATGGTGTTGAGGGTGGGGGTTTGATTACGAGGACTGTGTATAGGCGGTAATCTGTTCTTTATATTCTTACATACATACATAGTATATGTATATATTGCTCTCTACTACTAGGGATGGGGGTGGAGTTTGGTGCTTCATTTACTATGTGAAGGGCGGATGGATGGTATATAGTTTTAATTGTTCACGAGTCCACCAATGCCACATGGCTTACATCATTATCATAAGATAGACAACACTAAGGTCCGTCAACGTCGTGCATCCTCAACTGTGACAGCAGTAGGCTTCTCCAACCCCGTATCCTGGTGCGTCACGCGCAATTTCTTCTCGCCAGAGAAGAGGTCTTCACCCTGTGTGACGTGGTTGGCTCCGCCGAAGAGGGCATCAATTTCCTCCAGCGGTACCTGCTTGGTTTCAGGGACGAAGAAGAACACGAATAGAGCGAGGAGGAAGCAGATGCCTGCGAACATGTAGAAGGCGTAGAAGCCGCAGTTGTTGAGGAAGGTCGGGAAGAATTGCTGAACGATGGCGTTGGCCACGTTCTGGGTCTGGGTTGCCATACCCACGGCTTGGGCGCGAACATTCATTGAGAAGACCTCGGATGTCCAAATCCAAATGGTAGCGCCCCAGGAGGGTTTGTCTATTAAGATTTGATTAGTAAGGGATTTAAAGTCGTTTGTCGGTGAAACTCACAGAAGAAGATGAATAAGAAAAGTAAGAACACGATCGATATGCCGACTGATTCTGTCTTTGCTCCACCTGGTGATGGTGTTTCCGTCTCTACAGCCGCAACGATAATCATGCAAATGCCCATACCGATACCACCAACGATCAGAAGGAACTTGCGTCCGAACCGATCGATGATCCAGATGGCGTTCAGAGTGAAAATGATACCAAAGGTGGCATTGAGAGCGTTGATGAGAGCAATCTGGTTAGCACTTTTGAAAACTTTCTCGTAGATCTTTGTCGAGTACGTGTTGAGGGTGCCCTGTCCACTGACTTGCTGTCCAGCGTTGATGACAAGAGCTAGGTACATGCGCTTGCGGAGGGACTTATCCTTCCACAGCGCAGCGTAACTGCCAGAAATGGCTTCCTTTTCGTACTCGATGGCCTCGCGGATTCTGAGCAGCTCGTCTTCAACCTCGTCTTCGGTTGCTCGGACTCTGCGCAGCGCCCTGCGGGCCTTTTCGACGTTGTTGCCACGTTGGATGTACCTGTGCAGAGGTTAAGAGGAGTACATAACGCGCGTTCACAATAGCACTTACCATCGTGGCGAACCGGGAATGGTAGGTAAGATGAAAAGAATGATCACGGGCACCAAAAGTTGGAAGATGACAACCATTCTCCAATCCCACTCGCCCAAGTGTGTGGAGTGCTTGGTGCACGCGTAGTTCACCCAGAAGCAGATGAAGGAGCCAACGGAGTAGAACATTTGCCAAAAGGTCATGATCTTTCCACGAATCTCCGGAGGTGCTAGTTCACCGATATAGATGGGACCCGCAGCTGATCAATAAAGCGTTAGTAAGAACTTTGAGCCAAAAAGACCGATGGCAGACTTACTCAGTGCAATACCCTGGCCAATACCAATGATGCACCGTCCGGCAAGGAAGCATGCAATGTTGCCACGAGGCGCAAAGCACTGCATAAATGTAGCAGCGATGACCAAGATGCACCCGGTCGCCATTCCAATCTTGCGACCCAGAAAGTCGGCTATGGGACCACCCATGAAGAAACCGCCGACAATTGCACCCACGGTGTAGGCTGTGTTGACACCTCCGATCATATTCTCGTCAGGGTCATTGAAGTAGGCAACCCAGTTGTCCGAGCCTTGAACGGAATTATAGACGGACGCATCATAGCCGTATAAGACCATGCATGCTGCTGCGACGAGGGAGATGAACCTGACAGATTGTTAGTATAGTGACCCTTTCTCAAGGCCAGCGTGGCATGCGTACCAGTTGTAGGCTCGTTTCGATTTGAAAGGATTGACTTCGAAATCGTAATCAAACATTGTGGCAATATAGGCCGTAAGCGACCTGAATACGCCTTGATAGCAAATAGAGGTGGTTCCCAGGTGGGTGGTCAGCAGCCTATACAGCTGCACCGTCTAGTCAAGGCTATCCAAGAAGAACAAGGGGGGGGTTTGGTTTATGTACAGAAAGAAAAAAGGTGGGAAAGGACTGCGTCCTGCGGCCCTAGGTATATATATCCGACCTGGTAGAGGCGCGCCGGCAATGCAGCTAGATAAGCTACCATGCCGCGTGCCAGCAGCCAGGTGGCAAGCGCTATATCAAGCCATAGGGCGCTATAGCACCGGTTCCAGGACTGGTGTGGACGCTAACGCGGAGGCATTCCTGGGGAGCTGGGCTATCAGAGGTCCTAGCATCCAAGGATCAGACAGTGAGTAGGGCACGGCATTCGACCATTCGACTCCAGGATTTTGTCGGTGGTGGGGTATCCGGGGTGGGCCACACGGGGAAAGCTTTGAGTGCCATCCCCAGACTCCCCCAGAACATGCCATTGTTGGGGTGGTCGTAATGTGGAGAAATCCGGGGTCGAGATTCGAGGAAATTCTGAGCCAGACGCGGTAGATATCCACTGGACTTTCCACGAATCAGCAGCGCGAAGGCTGGAAGGATGGCTAAAGAGGGTCCACCAATGGAATGAAACAGGGGTAATGATAGGACCAGTGTCTAAGCTCCTGGATGATTCACATGGAGGCCAAGGGACAATTGGAGGGAGGCGGGGAGGAGTGGAGAGGAGGAGACGGAGCGAAGAAACAAGTTGGGGGGTCACCTCGATGGCGACGGGCTGGGGTCACGAGACAAGGCCTTGGATCCCCCTGAAATCAATCTCGCCCGATGATCCATCCCAAGCCAGCTCTCGTATTCCTGTCAGGCTCTTTTCTTCCGCACGCTTTTAATTCATGGCTCTTTAGACTCATCCTCCCAAACCAACGGTTCGTGGCAGAGACACATGCCAAAGAAATGCCGGGCTGCTCAATGGATGACTCGCGACAACGCAAATGACCCGGATACGAACATGTGGAATTGGTCTTAGCGTGACTCACAATAGCTTATATAAAGTACTTTTGACGGAGAAACTAGTGTCCCTGTGTCGCCTGGTCTAGTGTTAGATTGCGGCCGCCCAGGGAGCTTTGAGAAGCAGGCACCACTTATGGCATAGGGCTAGACCAGCCATCATTGTGTAGCACAATGCCATCTCATGCAATGTATTCATACTATCATACTCCGCAGTGACTAGCACATACATGTTCTTGGTAACATTTATAATTTATTAAACCGTATAATTCGGTCGCGAACTTCAGTTGAGATAGCTCTGAGAAGTGGCTCGTGAGGAAAGGGTGCCCTTCGCCACCATTGGATCAGAATCTGTGTCCCCTTTGGAATGAGAATGCGTGCGAGAGTTCGATTTAGCAGCATGTATTCGTATGCTTGCATTGTGAGCTCGAGGAAGCACCGGGACTCTATTGCCCACCTGCGGCTCCTGATAATCTTCAAGGTCGAAGATGTCTTGTACTCTCTTACGGTGATCTTTCATGAAGGGCCCAAATCGCCGAAACTTTTGACGGATCACCGTATTATAGGCTGTAGGGGTATTGGCCCCATCGACAGTGCCAGTATATACACGTTGTGGGTCTTTCCACGCTTTGGGAACCCCAGGGATCAAAGACGCCAATGCGCCAATAGGGTGCATAGACGAAAGTCCGGTCTTCGTAGTAGTACTTCCCGAGAGCTGACTGCGGCCACATATGTCCTGGAGAAATTGGTATCGCATCCGAAGTCGCCTATAGATTTCACGCAGCAGGTACAAAAGCGTCGCGGCGAGTATCGATGCACCCAGGAGGGCGCATGCCTTGTAGAATACGTCCAGCTCCCTATACTTCTGTTCTTGACAATAGCCGTGTACAAGCGCCATATGCTTTCGAGGATAGCACATGATGCATTGATCCTTCTTATCGTCTGGGATGTGATCCGAAATGCATATCGTCCTCCAATCGCTTCCCTCACAAATGGTTTCCTCGCAAGTCGGCCCACCAAGGCTGTATAGGTCCCTCTGAACAGAGTGTCGCCCCAACCTAATGTCAGCAGAAATATCGGACACAATCTCCCCCTTCTTACGGCTGCTCTTGCCATTCTCCAGTTTCGATATTATATATTTCAGGATTCCGTGGTAACCTTGCGTCAGAGGGTTTGATGGTGGGGTCTTCCTGACTCCATTCGTGCCAGTTTCATTCCGTGGCATGTCTTGACGTGGCCATCTCCCCGTAATATGTTCTTGTGAGGCAGCCTTATGTTGAAAGGGAGCCAACGACCGGACAGAGGCGACCTGATGATGTAGGTTATCCTCGTGACTTTCGAGCACGAACTGCTCTAAGATAGTCTCGCAGTGATGCACACCTGTTGGTCGTCCCCCAAAGTTCGTTATCGCCAGGGTGAGCATGATTGTCGGTTCAACTGCATTTGGAGTATGAGAACAGCCAATTATGTTTTCGTTCTCTTTGTAGCCCCTTCGCACGGTCTCCCATCTCCCCTGACAAGTCAAGGATACCGCACATCCTGGCCCCTCTGGACCTTTGAATGGGACTATTGTGACAAACTTCGGGTCACCCAATAAGGAGCCCGAGCATGAAGCTTGGTGGTCACCACCTGTTCGGTATGGAGTCGGCAGAGGGTCATCTTGAGTAATATTGGAGATAGCCCCCAATACCGCATAGAAAAGTGCAAGAAGGCGCTGCTGACAATGCATGGAGAGAGAAATAGAGTGAGTGGTTAATATACAGTCTTATGCAAGAACCTGCGTGCTAAGATGCTGTGGATGGGGCTTCAATCAATCAAACCAATATGATGAGCATACTATATCTAGAGCTTTCTGAGTGGTGCGTGGGATGCAAGAAGTCACATTCTGAGAATGACAGTTACACTATATTCAGGAAGCCGCAGCCCACGATAGAGAACAAAATTGATTGTTGCATGTCCCGTATAGGCAAGAGAGAAGCCTGGCAGTTTCACATTATCTTGGCTGATCTTAAACTATGCATTGTTCACCTACACCTCACTGTAAAGTCTACGATAGCGTTGGCAAGTCACATTGATTTAAATGAAAGCAAAATGGAATGCTAGTAATAAAGTATTGAGCAAGCTCCTGAAGGACTACAATCTAGTCTAACGCCTGTCAAAAAGCCCATTTTCACCTCGTTCTCAACTATCCGTAGGCATGCTGGCGTGGTTTCAGATTGAGAAATCATGTGAAGCGTAAGTAAATGATTTTAATGGTGATGAACAGCGTCCACAATGACAGATAGAACATAAGAAACAATTCAGAATCAATCTGCGATGCAGCAATGACTTCTACACTTCACGAGTGCTACTGACCTTTCTGGGTAGCTATTAGCTATCACGTGCTCTCGTGACACCGAGACGCGACTCTTGCGCGCTCAGCGAAGACTTCAGATCCTATGATAATCTCTATTCACTCCTTCGACTTGGTCACTATTTCTACAATCAGCGCAAGATCTTCATTTTATACTCTGACTCCACCCAGCGCTATTTACTATCATACATAGCCGATCCCTGCGCCACCCCCGATGCCCCGCACATACGGCAAGAAAAAGCAGACGCGGCTGGCTTTTGCTCCGTTGAGCTCCTCGCCGAAGAAGAGAGAGGACGGCTCCGACGACGAGAAAGATCGCCGCGCAAACTTGCGCTATGCGCATCCTTCCATGCCAGTCCTCCGACGAGGACGCTCTCAGCCTGAAGGTGAGATTATACCACAGCTACTGCATGATAATAAATACTAACTTAGTGGGATGCCGACAGCCAAACCAACGCCCCAACGTACCCCGGAACCCAAAGCAGAACCAGTTAGCGACAGTGATAGCGATATAGAGATCGTGCGCAGCACGCGCAAAAACCCGCAAAGAGGACCACTAAAGCGCAAGAGGACAGATGTATCCAGTTCCGAATCTCCTTCCGCGACCCCGCAGAAACCCGCTGCCGATTCAGAGAGCGATGCAGATGAGGTTGTTCCCGCGTCCCGCAGAAAACTGAGGCGTGGTGTGGCCCCTCAGCCTGCTGCCGTGGATGACGATAACGATTCGGAAGAAGAGTTGGTCATCTCTCCCAAGAAGCGCAGGACGCGCAACGCAAGCCCCGACGTCCCCCAGACGCCACGTCGCGGGCTGGAACAGGACGAATTAGATATTGAAGAAGATCTTCAGGCGTTGCAGGACTCAGGTAAGCCCACATAAGTAACGTGTCAGGCAGTCTGCAATGCTCTGTTGGACTGACAGGTCTATCTACAGTGGTAAAAGATACCCGAACTCGGGGGCGACTGGCCAACTCGGCACGGGCTCAGAGACAACAACACCTGGAAGCCTTACGTCGTCGGAGGGCAGGAAAGACAGCATCCGATACTGAGAACCCTGAGAGTGATGTTGAGCAGTTGGAGTCGGGCGACGGCGACAGCGAAGGAGACGGTGACGTTGACGGTGACAGCGGAAGTGAACAAGAGGACGAAGCCGAGACTCATGAAGAGAGCCCGAAACGGAAGCCCCAATTCCGTACTCGACTAGAAGAAAGTGATGTTGAATCGGCGATCGCAAGCAATGATGATTTGGACCGCTACGAAGACGACTTTGTTCTGGAAGACGATGATGATACCCTAGGGGCTCCCACGGGCCTAGAAGACATCCCCATCGAATTCTCCCGACATGCCTACAAGCAACTTAAGGACTACTTCCAAGATGCAGTAGAATGGATGGTGCACAACCAGCTCAACCCGGCATTCCCTCGCTCCGACCCAGTCTACGAAGTCGCCTTCAGCAAACTCGAAGACGAAGTCAAGGGCCGTACTGGATCACAGCTCGTCTCATCAGTTTGGAATGCCAAGTTCCGGAGAGCCCTCTTAGCCCGGCCTCAGATCGAGATCACAACCTTTCCGACAATAGAGAACCATCCATGCGATGCTTGCAACCGCTCAGGTCATCCAGCTTCATTCGACATCAAACTATACGGGAAAGCCTATTCACTGAAGACCCTTGAACCGCTTACCGACGAAGACAGCGACGAGAACGAAGAAGAGGAACACGAAGATGATGACCACGAAGAAAGAGACCGAGACGGCCACATCCTACCAGACGAAAACACCCGCTTCTTCCTCGGACGGTAAGCATCTCGCCCATCCCTTTTCACCAAACCAAAAGTCTCCATATAGCTAATGAGGCATGCTACCAACCAACAGCCACTGCAAAAACAAAGCAACTCTAGCTCACACCCTAACCCACTGGCGCTTCCACCTCAACGAATGGGTGACCGGCTACCTCGAACACCAGGGATACCTATCCGAGACGAGAATCGTGGAACGCAGCCACTGGAGCACGAAGAAGAAAACCAAGTACGCCGTGAAAGCAGTTGAATCAATGATAGCGAATGGTGAAGTCAAGAAATTGTGGCGCGATTTTCACGTTAATCTACGGACTGCAAGAGAAACCACGGTATGTTTTTGATCTGGAGCTCCAAGATCGATGCGGCAGCTGAGAGCATTTGCTGACCATATCATATCATAGACTCTTGGATAGTATGGTGCAAGCTTCTAGATGTGTTCGTTTGCACATCTTTGATCCATATACGGGTGCTGTCTGGACGACGTTATGTACTCAGCCTGGGGTGGTTAGTTCTTCACCTGGTCAGCATCACTTTCTTCGGATGCGCGCCTTTACACCATTCTTCTTGTCCATATCCATTTGCCCCCTCGGTTCGGGGGCTTGTACCTATATCTTTCATGCTGTGATACCCTATTTCTGCTATTTTATTTTCGGCCTGTTTCCTTCTAGCGCAAGGAGAAAATGTACTCGGCTCATGAGAGTCCCGTCCTGAATATTATCTCAAGATCATTCACATTTCATTATCTAGAAACATGAGTTCCCAAATGGTGGAAATAGACATAAAACGAAACGAACATTGTAACCAGGGGAAAATAAATCAGTATAGAAATACACACATCGCCCAAGCCAGAAGTTCTGGAATCAAAGGTTGAGAGAGGAGAAAAAGCGTCAAGTTAACAGGGCCAGAGATTCCGAACAGTAACAGGTGGGCAAGATTTTCCTTCATGTCCATATGGAAACCATACCATCCCTTTTATATCTTCCTCGCGTCAACTCAAATCAATGAGTTGAATATATTCGCGATTATCCATCCTCGATAGTACACACCTGCTTTTAATCCAATGTAATCCGGATCATGCATCGCTAATTCAAAGTTGCCTGGCTGGTATTTTTTTGTTGGAACAGAGAAATCGACTAGATTCGTGCAGTGACCTCATCAATGAACGTCATCGCCTGGAAGTCGACATTATGCTCCAGGAAGACCGACAACATTCAACAAGAAACCATAGGCCTTACGACAACAGGTGGCTTCGGACAGGCTCGATATTGAGGTAGTGGCAGTTCGACAGGCCATGGCAAATCAACTATTCCCACCTGTTGCGATCTTCATCTTTGGCAGCGGTATTCATTTACAAAGAGGGTTGAGCGGGCTTCTCTTCACCGGGGGCGCCGGGCGTAAGCATCTAATGATAGAAAACAATGTAATTAGCAGCTGCTCGGAGTTTTCGCAGACCATCGAAACATGTGCGGGCAATCCAAATGACGTCTGTATCTCCGTTCTTGGCACATAATAAGAACGGAAAAGAGTTTTCACGTCATCGCCAACTGCCCCGGACAAGGCCGCATGACAGTAACAATACAGCAATAGCCAAGTGACAAGTAGATAGCCCGACGAATATGAAAATGGGAATTGAACATGGCTGTAACGTACCTCGTTGGCGCCCTTGATCATGCCCTGCTCGCGCTCCATCTGGATGTACTGCTCCTCTTCGGCGTAGGCCAGAGCCCACGGGACACCAAGGAGGAAGGCACTGGTGCTGATGATCCACAGCGCCTTGCCGCTGAATTGGATGCTGGACTTTGTGAAGGAAGTGATGGACTCGACGGTGCTGGTGACCGAGCGGCGTGTGGAAGGAGGAACAATGTCTTTCAGGGCATAGAGACGGTCGTAGAAGGTCTCGCCGTCGACCTCAAGATCAGACTCGACGGAGATTTCGGACTCTGTACGTATGGCAGGTTAGAAAATGAAGGCCATGTGTTTTGAACGGCTGCGCCGATAAATGGATGAATAGATGGATCAGGTTCGGCGTGGATGGATAATGCTTCCGGATGTTGTTGCGCGGAGGATAAGAATGAAAATGCAGTTGCTCATGCAAAACGAGCGCCCGGTTGAATTGTGCCTTTGATTATGGGTCATCAGGATACTAACCGGTGTCAGTGTAGTCGTCTTCCTCTTCGTCGTCCGAGGTCAGAAGGACATTGTGCTTGCTGGGCATGGGCTTCTCCTGGGAGAAGTGCTCATCCTCGACTTCGGTAAGCTTGACCATTGTGACGGTGG